ACACATCATTGGTGAACTGTGATTCGTTGCTTTTGCCTTTTAAATCCGGGTGCATATTGATCGTGTGTTAACCCATATTAATCGATCATAGCTTGAAACTTTCTTTTATATTCGTCAACGACTTCAATACTTGCGGCGCTCAATTTTTCACCATCGATTTTCAGTTTCGGTACACCTTGGCGATTTTTGAACTTTTCTAACCAACCTCTGCTTCTTTTGAATTAAGGATTCAATGTCATGTTGAAAAACAACGCTTTTTCAGCAACAATTTTCAAAACTTAATTGATCAAAAGACTAAGTGACACAATCACTGTTCGAATTTTAATCAAACTGAATTATGGTGACACACAGATATTAACTGTAATAATTATTGTGCTGTGCGTTTTTATTTTCGGCTTGAGCCTCTAAAGATAGAACTTTTAAAGCAAGGTATCATTACCTTGCTTTAAAAGTTATTTATACAAATTAGTATATTTATATCTAAATCTCATGCTATTAAATTGTTGATTTTTGGTCTCTGCAATATTTAGAAAATATGATATGTATGAGTAATTATTAATAATTATATAACGCTAATTGACAATTTACGTTTTAATGCACATTGCTCGAATATTTTAAGATATTTAAAACACATTGTTTAGTTGAATACGAGTTGGCATAGTTACAAATGCTTATTTTCATTTTATATTCTATTTTTTTGCGTGTGAATTGTTTATATTACATTTCGATACGGAAAATTAATTGCTTTTTTATCTTATACGACTAAATTTAAACTTGCTTTTGAATACACCTCTTATAAAACGATTTATTGTAAATTGAATGGAACTTTATAACTAAAAAATAGCACAAGTAATTAGTAAAATTTGGCATACTTTAATAATATTCAAATTTCTATAGTATAAAGAACTTATATTAACTAAACATGATCAAATAACCATTTAAAATAAACAAATTTTAAATAATTAATTATAGAATCATTATTTTTCAAAACAAACATTTTATAAACAACATTTCTAGATATGCAAAGAAATCAAGCAATATTTGTAGGAGCCGTGGAAACTCTGTAATTTAAGCACAACTGCATTCTGAATCCAACCTCTGGTTTTCGCGCAGCTCACGTCTATTGCTATCCTGGGCGTACTGTACTTGCTTACGTTCGAGTTCGGAATCCTAATCTGCCTACTTCCCTCACTCGTGAGTTCGAGATGTACCAGTATATTGTTGGCCATAGCACAGAATAATAAACAATCAGAATGCCACTCTCAGATGCCGCCTTTGAAGTTTTTCAGCACGTGCTCCATGTTTTAGAAGGAAACACATAACACAGACATATGATTTGTGAGGTTATGTAATTGTTTATATTTAAGTTTAATTATATTATCTTTATGTTATTATATTTAACAATGTTAATATAATTGTATAGTATGTCTATGATTGCTGTAAGTCAATTAAACCGAGTTAATTTTTCTATGCACACCACATTTATAAACAACACTGGTTTATTATTCTGTGGCCATAGGCCATAGCCAGAAATACGACAACTGTCAAACGGCATGGAGGTCTCAATCTCCCTACTCATCTGTGTGAAGTGTTACTGTTCTCGTTCTCGTATTCCTGGAGAAAAAGATACTCACTCGACACAGGAGTAGGCAGATTGAGAGCCTAGTACTTTAACGATTTTTGTATTTCTGGAGAACAAGATGCTGTTGTATTTATACAGAACACGATACTGGTACGTCACGAGTGAGGGGAGTAGGCAGATTGAGACACCGAATTAAAACGGAACCATATCCCCCTTGATAATGACTCCAAAAATTGGTGTCTAAACGTCGAGTTTTAAATTCTCAACGCTGTTCTTCCCGAGAACTTAATAATTTTTATTTATCTGACCGCGGAAATTTAAAGTTTACTGTACACTTTGTATCATTGAACTATTTTATTATCATTTCTCTGAGACAAATACAAACAGACATAGTTTTATGAATATACAAAATATATTTTAACGCCAGCTCGGTTCATAAATCAAACCAAGAATAATTTGTATTGTTTCGTTTATGATATTTGGCCATTAAACCATTAAACGTTATTCCTAGTAAATGTTCTAAAAATAGTAACTAAATTGTATTTGCATGTCGTTTAATTGTGCAAACGCATATTTTTGTCGTCAAATTCAAACTGTCACAGTTCATTTTCATTCACATATTCAATTTTTTATTTTACTGAGTCAATGTCATAATCATTTATCTTATTTGTAATGATATACATAGACAGAGTGTAGTAAATAATAATTCCCAGTGTTTATTTGTACGTATTTTAATACTTCTATCTGTCTGACTTGTATACAATTTTGTCAACTTGGTTCCTATCATACTTATATTTATTATTTTTTTAGCTTTATTGCATTGTGATTTATATGCATATATATATATATATATATATATATATATATATATATATATATATATATATATATATATATATATATAACCTAAAACTAAGAGTAATATTATTATAAAAATTAACAAAAAACTCACTAGACTTCCGGGTTGAACCGCGTTGTCACGGCGCAGTTATAATCGACGCGGTTAAATCCGGAAACCTGGTGAGTTTATTATCAATTTTTATAATAATAGTAATCTTAGTTTTAGATAATATATATATATATATATATATATATATATATATATATATATATATATATATATATTGAAGCGAGGTTAGATAAAGGAAAAGGTTAATGCGAGTGAATAATAAAAGTAAAATGTAATGGCATGTCTTGCAAAACAGAAAACTAAAAAAGGTATATCGATGATAGGCAACCATATATACGTATTTCTGACTATTGGTCGTCTTTAGTACGGTGCGCCCAAGTTAGAAAAAAAGCCTGATAACTTGAGATAGGATCACTACAGGAGCAATGCGACTAATTTGTGACATTAGAGTTAGAAGACCCTAAGGGTTTCCAGGGCAATAACTAACAATAACCAAGGAGAAAGCTTCAGTTACCTTGGGAAGTCATGTGATGTCGAAGCCAGTTTTGGGTATTTCTTAAGCAATGGCATGATGGTAGGTGTGACAAAACATAATATCATCATTAACATTATGTTTGTCGACAAACTGAAGCAATTTGAAAGGGCAGTTATTAATAAAGCTCTGATTATTCAATGTGACCCCTCACTCTTTCCCCAAAAGGTTGGAATACATCCCTGTGATTGCGTTAGTACCAATACCAATACCAATGTTAGATACCTTGTATCTAACATTGTTAGGGTATTCCTATAGGTTGTCTGTATAAACTCCATGCTTTCCCTTCATTTCAGGATTACTCAAAGTAAAATATTTTTCATCATCTAAAATAATTATTTTTTCATTGATAAAGTGTAAGCGGCTCAGTTGACGACAGCATCTTGGTATACAAAGAGTTGCGCTTGACAGTATTTAAGGCACCACCGTCTCTGTCAATATCCGAGACGAAGAAGATCCTTAGATCTGTATTGGTGAGCCAGTCTGCTCGTTGATATTCCAACCTGTTGTTTTCCTCTTCTATCCAATTTCTCTGATCTCTGTTCAGTAAATATACATGCTATTCCACTTTTTGCGAGATTTAGATATGGTATTCCCTGCTCGCACTTGTGATGACACGTGGTCGGGTTTATAGGATAGGTTATGGAGAGTGGAAATTAGGTTACAATGAAACACCTTTCATCTATCGTGTCTAGATTCAGAATCATCTACATTTACATATTTAATTTGTTTTTGAAAACATACTTTTGCATAATGCCCTATCTTATTACATAAATTACACTTAGCTTTATATGCCTTGCAGGGTTGGCCTCTGAGCTCCATTCCACATCTACTGCACCCTGAACTGCTTCCGGATTTACCATTGAACTGGCTGCCTTGGGACTTCGAATGAGTTTGATTCACTCTTCTGTCTTCCCACTGGGCTTTATTTACATATTTCTTACCGAAGTTTCCTTTCTTTATGTAGTTTACCTCCTCTGACCTCATTTTTTCAGAATGGATTTTCGAGCTTTCTATACTTTTACACAGATTGATTGCTTTTTCCAAGCTCATCTCATCTTCTTCTAACAGTCTCTGTTTCATGGTTTCATCTGTTACCCCACATGTTATGCAAGTTTTAATCAGACTGTCCTCCAAATCCTCCAACTCACAATTTTTTTGCCTGGTTTACAATATCTGTTATGAATTTGTCTACTGACTCACCTTTATCTTGTTTTCTGTTAAACAGGCAATACCTTGCGTTTGATACATTGCTTTTGGGTTTGAAATGTGCTTCAAATTTTGTAATTAATGGTTCTAACTTATCTTTTTCTTCTGTTGAGAACTTGAACGTATTATAGATTTTGAATCCGTCGTCTCCTATTAGTTGTAGCAATTGTGCGCATTGGGTTATTTCAGGTTTTTTTGTTAATTCTGTTGCTTGAAGGTAGTTTTTAAATCTTTGTATGAAGAACTTTCAGTTTTCGTATAAATTACCTGACATTTGCATTGAGTTTATTGCTGCCTTATATTCCATTTCACTTTTACACTCTTCTTAAATCTTAAAGAATTCGGTTTGGTTTCAGATTTTGGTTTTCGGCACCATGTGATGACACGTGGTCGGGTTTATAGGATAGGTTATGGAGAGTGGAAATTAGGTTACAATGAAACACCTTTCAGCACTCTGCTTTTGTTCTATAAATGGTTCTGTATGAAATGTTTTCACTTTGTCATATTAAACTAACTAACTAAATTATATACACTTTCTCTTATGTCTAATTTGTACGACATGTTAAAGCAAAGACTACAAAATAAATAAATCAGTATCCCAACTCACATCATCAGTATGTGAACTGACAGTAAACAATGTAAAAAAACTTTTGTTTTCAAAGGCTGATTAAAGTTATCGTATTCAACTTCTACTTTTTATTAGATAATTAGATTTATTGTAATGAATATTTTTAAATACCTACGTTTATTTATTATTTTTTTTTCAGGGGGCATTATTCTTTCTTGGATACTTAATATGTTACTTAAACTTTTCTCTGACACTGCCAATCCTCACCATATGTACCTTAGTGTATTTCGAGACACAAACTTCACAAATAACCAAAAAAATATCGAGCAAATCGAAGGCGAGTTCATACACAAAGAAGGATCTGTTAAAAGTGGTAGATGAATTGCCGTCTTGGGTAAGTTAATCGTAATCATTTTTTAAATTTTTGAATATAGTAATACAATTTGTTAGGTTAGAAAAACTATAATCACATAGCAAGTTAATTACGCCACTATTATTTTGCATTTAATTGTTAAACATTATTTTAAATAATTATAGTTGTGAGTTCTATAGTTAGCAATTTTCTATAATTTTTCTTCATTATTAGTAATACAATATTGATTATTTTATAAAATATAAAATATATAATTTATATTAAAAAAATATTCCAATATTTATTATTTGCATTGTATTGAATACTTTTACATGGTTATTTCTATTAACGTAATTTTTGTTTTAGGTAACCTTTCCTGATAGAGAACGAGCTGAGTGGCTGAATGAGGTAGTTATTATTAATTACATTCTAGTTAATATTATTATTAACAATATATAATATGAAATCAAAATTTTTCGTCAATATTTCGTCAATAATGGAATTCATCCGTGGAGTGTTAAAGAAATCGGAGGCCCTCAACAACAAAATGAACATAGTATACTATCTAATAAAACCAAAATAATATTACAATAAAAAGAAGAGACACTGCACTTGAGATAGTAGACAAACTCATACCTGGGACAATTAATACATAAATCTGGTCCCTTACTTGGTATAACAAAGAGAGATCGAAAAAGAATAGAATGGATCAGAGGGAAAACCGAGGTCACTGATGTAATCCACAGAATTAAATCTTTAAATTGGCAATGAATGGGACATTTAGCAAGAAGAACTGACAATAGATTGTCCACTAGAGTTACACTGTGGTATACAAGAGGTGTCAAACGACCAAGAAGACGCCCAAAGGCTATAGCGGGATAAGATAGTCAAAAGTGTATCCGCACAGATCAGCACCGCAATTTGTGCTTTCACTAAAACATATAAAAACATGACTTAATACAAATTTTTAGCTTCCCAGAGCCCATAGAACCTCGTAAATCTAAAAAAAGAAGCTTTTTTCGACTTTAGATTTTTCTGGACGAAATTTTGCTTTAAAAAAATCTGAAAAATCCATTATTGAATACAAAATAGCTTGATTTTTTTTCAAATTTTTACATTGAAAATTGAGCTCAGGAAAAATCATTGAAATTTTCAATAATTTCTTGGGTTAAGTTAATAATTTTTGGCTAACTTTTAAATAGTAATTTTTTGTTTATTTTTTTTTGTTCTTTTAAATGTCCAAGACAAAATTTTTAATTTCTGAGCGGAAAGCATTGAAATATAAAAAAAACGTTTTTTATTCATTTATTTGCACAAAACATCAAAACTCAGTTGCCAATTCAACATTTTTTCTTCGAAATTATCATATTCTGTTGTAAAAATCCCCATTTAACTCTTTCATAAAGATAAAATTCAAAAATACCACGTTTTTATTCTTTTCTATTCACTTTTTTACCTTACCTCAAAATCAGATAGTTAGATGTATGCTTTTACATCTATTTTCTTACGGGCTATAAATCATCATTGTTAAAATAATCATTTTTAACGTACAAATTGCGAAAAAAATCGCATTTTTCTAATATTTTCCCACTTTATTGGCTTAACCTTAAAATCTAGTAGCTAAATGATCAAATTTCCGCGTATTTTTGATCGCATCACAAAAGCTTCTTTTTTAGATTTAAGATGTTCTATGGGCTCTGGGAAGCTAAAAATTTGTATAGTCATGTTTTTATATCTTTTATTGAAAGGACGTCGCAGTGCTGATCGGTGTGGGGGCACTTTTGACCATCTTATTCCGCTATAGCCTTTAGGATGGGACTATGACTGTTAAGGTGTGGATTTGGAAAATAAATAGTCGTACTTTACTACTATTATAAAAGGCTTTATTTCCTATAACATACATACTAATTAACTAACCTAACTTAAGCCACCATACTTCTTACTACCACCTACAACTACATGATACTCATTGACATTACTATTATTGTCTGTCATGTCAACCCATGACACTATGGGTGCGTTCCGCTTACTCTTACACCAATATATCTGTGTATACAATATAAATGTATTACATTCTCAACACGCCTCCTTACATTTACATTGTATTTACATTAATTCAAATTTAACATACTTCGAAATTTTTCAAATTTATCTTGGCCCAAGGACTTCGTAAAAATATCTGCAATATTATCATCAGAATCTACTTTAACCACATTTATAACATTTGCTTTAACATAATCATTTACATAATGATAATGAATTTCAACATGCTTAGAATTTTTTGTAAAATTGCCATAATTAGCTATACTAATTGTACCAGTGTTATCTTCATAAACATCAATTGGCTTTATTATTTCAATATCAAATATTTTCAACAATTCTTTTACAAATATCAATTCACTTACTGCTTCTGACAATGCTACATACTCTGCAAAAGTTGAAGCTTTTGTAACGCTTTTTTGTTTTCTAGATTTCCAATAAATTACATTACCAAACAATCTTATTACAAAACCAGTTGTAGACTTTCTATCTAAATGATCACCTGCCCAATCGGCATCCACATAACAATCAATAATACTTACTTTTTCATTTCTGTTATAAAACAATTTTAAATCTTTAGTTAAGCATAAATATTTCAAAATTCGTACAGCATATTTAAAGTGCGTTTCATTATAGCAATTTTGAAATCTACTCAGATAATTTACGCTGAAACTTATATCAGGCCTTGTTGCCGAACTTATGTATAATAGTGCACCAATTAAATTTTTATATTTAATATTTCTTTCACAATGATCAGATTTATCAATTTTTAAATTTACTTCCATAGGTGTATTATACAGTTTACCTTTTTCTAAATTATATTTTTTCCTTAATAATTCAATATATTTATTTTGATCCAATCTCATTTCATGTTTACTAGAATCATAATCAACAGTAATACCAAGATATTCTTTAATTTCACCAATATCTTTCATTTTAAATTTTTCTGATAATAAAATTTTAATCCTTTTAATTTCATTTAAATTTCTACCACAAATCAATAAATCATCGACATAAATTAATAAGTAAATAATATCATTTCCAATTTTATAAACGTACAAACAAGGATCAATATTACTTCTTTCAAAACCTAAATTTATCAAAAATGTATCTAGGCACTCATACCATGCCCTTGGACTTTCTTTTAAACCATATAAAGCTTTAACTAATTTACAAACTTTACTTGTTCCATCTTCATAATCCTTAGGTTGTTTAATATAAACTTCAGAAATTACTTTACCATTTAAAAAGGCTGTTTCAACATCCATTTGTTCAATTACTAGGCCCATTTGACAACAATATGACAATAAAATCTTTAATGTTTGCATTTTAGCCACAGGTGAATAAATATCATCAATTTCATCAGTTTGTTGAAAACCTCGTACAACCAATCTAGCTTTATAAGTATTATCAGACTTTTTAGTATAAACCCATTTAACATCCAGAATATTTTTGTTTGTATCATTTTTAACCAATTTCCAAGTTTTACTTTTATTTAAACTATCAATTTCTTTGTCCATAGCTGTTTTCCAATACTTACTTTCATTAGAATTTATCGCCTCCTCAAATGTATGTGGTATATCAGTTCTACACATATTTACAAAAATACTACTATTATATACATAGTAGTCATCAAATTTCTTTGGAGGATTTTTGGCTCTGTGAGATCTAGGTAACTCAGGTTCATTTTTATTCACACTATCATCCATACTTTCATTTGTACTTTCAAAAGTTTCATCTATTGAGTCATTTTCAGAGCTTTCATCAATTTTATCAGGGTAACACTCTTCATTATTATCATTATCTGATTCGTTAAAGTCTAAACCTATACACTTAACGTTTTCTTCAACAATATCCACGTGTCTAGCAACAATGACTCTGCCATTTAATAATACACGATAACCAACATTACTATAACCAATTAAAATTCCCATATCAGCTTTCTTATCCCATTTAGAGATTCTCTTCTGTTCTGGTCTTCGTACAAAAACTTTACTTCCATACAAACGCAAATTAGAAACATCAGGTTTCTGTCCAAAAAATATTTCATATGGAGTTTTCTTTTCAATTGTATCAGATAAAGTACGATTTTTCAAATAAACCGCAGCACAAACTATTTCAGGCCAATATTTTTTATGAATATCTGCTTCAGCCAACAAACATCTTGACATATCCATTATAGTTCGATTAAACCGTTCTGCAGTCCCATTCAATTCATGTACATATGTAGGACAATTATCAATTACTATACCCCTTTCTTTTGCAAATCTGTAGACTTTACTGTTCAAATATTCTTTCCCATTATCACATCTTAAAATCTTTATTTTCTTTCCAGTCAAATTTTCACTTTCATTCGTATATTCATTCAAACAATCACATACTTCTGCTTTTGATTTTATAGCATATACTTTAGAAATCTTACTATAATCATCAATGAAAGAAACAAAATAATTTTCACCTTTAAACCCAGTAGTTCGAAAAGGCCCACAAACATCAGTATGTACAATCTCTAAAATATCTTTAGCTTTTTTTCTACTGTTTACAAACGGAATATTATGCATTTTACTTTCAATACAAATCTTACATTTCATAAATTCAGATTCAAACTCATTAGGAATTCCATTCAACAGCTGATCTTTAGATAAAATATTCAAATATTTAAAATTTACATGACCTAATAAACGATGCCATTTTTCCTTTTGATTCATATTATTCATATCTTTATTTGCAACATTTACATGCAATTCAACTGATTTTAATTTACTTTTCATAATATATAAGCCATTATTTTTTAAAGCAACTGCTGTTATATTACCAAGTTTATCAAAAACTTTTGAAATATTACCTAGAGAAATAATCTTATTATTTTCTGTTATTTTGCTATAACTTATCAAATTTGATTTCATATCTTTAACATAGAAAACATTTTGCATATCTACTAAACTCTTTTTACCAAAAGCATCAAAGTAACTTAAAACATTTCCAATTTTAGTAGCTTTTACAACCCTATTATCTCCTAAATAAACATTAATGGGATCTTTAAGTAATTTACATTTATCAAATAATTTTTCATCATTAATAATGTGGTCTGTACAACCACTATCTAAAAGCCATTTTATTTCAATACAATTATTTACATTACCTATTTCAGTATTTTGTGCAATAACTGACATATCCTTACCAAGAGCTACTGTTGTAAGCCAAGAAGCACTGTTTCGCTCTTCGTTCTTCTGTCCTTGTCGGTTGAACCGCTGTGCACTTGTTCCATGCGTTCCGCGCTGTCCACGTGAGTGGCCACGTCCTCTGACGTAGCTTCCTCTTCCGGCTTCTTGTCGACCTCGCGTTTCTCTCCACCAGCCTCTACTGCTTGTCGTTTGTCCGCCATTACCCGACGCTTGATTGGCGCCATTTTTGCAATCTCGCTTGAAATGACCAACTTCGCCACACTGGAAGCATGATCGATCCTGTCGACCTTTATTTACCACAAATGTACTGGATTTTCTTCCAAAATCATTGTTTTGATTTTTTAATTCGGACATCATAACCTTAGTTTTTACGTAGTCTGCAGTTTGATCATCTTCTTTTAATGTATCTATTAAATCACCAATATAACTGTACGACTCTGGCAACGTGTTTAACATATAGTTCAATTTTTCCTTTTCAGACACACTAGCACCCGCGCTTTTTAACTCGTTTATAGCTTTTTCGAAGTCACTAAAAAATGTTGCACAGTCTCCATAGTTGTTCAATTTTAATCTTTCCAAGTTATTTCTACATACTATCTGCAATGCCGTTGATTCTTTCAAATATAAATTATCAAATTTCTTTATCATCTCATACGCCGTAGTTTTTTCGTCGATGTACTCCATCTGTCGATCCGATATTGCACCGCATATATAATTCATTGCTTTTACATCATCGTCATCCCAATTTGTATCATCATTTTCATTTTTCGGTCTGGTTACCACAACATCACACTTCTTCATTTTCAAAAATAGCATAAGACGTTTTTTCCACATTTTATAATTCTCCCCATCGAATATAGGTATTCTAAAATCACTACTACCTGCCATCATGTGTCACACTTTTTTTTCAAACTGCACCAAACTTTTTCTGTTGTAAAAGGTACGACTTTCCAACCACGGACCTCTGCTACCATGTTAAGGTGTGGATTTGGAAAATAAATAGTCGTACTTTACTACTATTATAAAAGGCTTTATTTCCTATAACATACATACTAATTAACTAACCTAACTTAAGCCACCATACTTCTTACTACCACCTACAACTACATGATACTCATTGACATTACTATTATTGTCTGTCATGTCAACCCATGACACTATGGGTGCGTTCCGCTTACTCTTACACCAATATATCTGTGTATACAATATAAATGTATTACATTCTCAACAATGACATAAAGAAACAAGGCGGTACATGGCACAGAAAAGCGAATATTAGACAATTGTTGGCAGAAATGAAGAAAAACTATATAAGGGAGGCTACACCATAATTGGTAGAATACGCTGATAATGATGATGATATATAGGATTCTTTAGTAGTTGCCGAAAAGCTTCTACTTTAAATATGGTATTGTTTCTCGCGACATGTTCCTTTAATCGAGTCCAGATTAGTTGAGTGGAGTTAAATTTATAATTTTAAGGTAGTAGTTTCTTCTTCCTAGACATTTTCCAAACCTAGACTGTGGGGATAAAATTTGTTTGTAGGTATTGATCTGACTCATATCTCGTTTCTCCATTGTCATCGAATAGTTGCATTATAAATTGTTTCCACACTTCATTTATTTTATTCTCCTTTGTTATTATGTAATTATTTCCCCATTGTTATCTCTTGTGACGAGTGTTCTTCTCTGCCTGTCGTTGTCTGTAAGTTCTTACAGCCTTATTTCCTTTTTTAATCCTTTCTAAGAAACTTAGGTGATTCTTAACTGAAACATTTTGTGAAACAACAATTTGTGACAAAAGAATTTGAAATTATTTTGAAACTCTCCATCACTTATTTATAACAATGCGTTAGGATTATTAACTGGGTCATAAAAACTGTGACACATATGAATTATCTAACGAAGCATAGTTCAGACATGTATGTTCTGCCACTTTATTCTTCATTATTTTCTTATTTGTATCTCAAGATCTTTATATTTGATGACTTCCTCGTTGTATTTAACATGCATATTGCTGTTAGGTGCTATTATTATTTCTGTTTTTTAGATTATTGGACAACTATGGCCTAGCATTTCCCTTTATGTGATAAAATTGTGCAGAACAAAATTGCAAGCGAAAATTAAAAAGAAATTCGATTCCTTTAGATTTGAAGATATCGATTTTGGAGTTACGGTAGGTATTTAATTAAATTTAATATTAAAAAAAAATACAATATACATAATTTTTAGCCTCCAAAAATTGATGGCGTAAAAGTTTACAATAAAACTATTACTAAGGATGCTATAATTATAGATTTCGACGTATAGTAAGTACTATAAACTGTGTACTATTTTACTAATTGCTTTTTATTTAACTTATTTTATTTAAGGTATGCGCGCACTTGATTGGACCGGCCAGCAACGGAACGCACCGCTACAACACGAAATTAAATCTTTTAACGCGTATTTAACGCTTTTCTTTATTCTTTTCCTCTGATGGAATTATTTTCTTCTTCCAATGGCGCCACAACATTTATGCGTCCTTTCAAATTTTGGCGCCCATCAAATTTTGCGTGTCGCTACCACTTCATTCTTCCATCTTTTCCGTAGTCTCCCCTTTGGTATTTTGGTAATCTGTTCTGTATTTTACTGTATAAGGCTTCTCTTGTCAATCTGACGTTATCCACCCTCACTACATGGTGATCGAAGTCTCTGGTGCCTAGCGAATTTGGAGATAGTTGATTATTTAAATAGTTGGGAAAGTTAGGATTAAGTGAAAATTTATCGTCGTCTACTCTTATATGATTTATACACACATCAAAATAATCCAGCAGACAAAAACTAAATGCGATATTGCAGAAGAATTTCAGATAATTTATTTTAAAGATTTTTTCTTAGAATTATCGCAATTACTCTTAATAAAATAAAAAGAAAATTCCATAAGTCAAAAATGGCAATAAAAAAAAATAAAAGACCAATTTGTTGGCCCTCAACTTCCAACAAAGTAGTCTGCAGGTTAAGTTAGTATAGTGTATGATCTCCACGGTTATTAATTACATCTATAAGGCAAACTTATGATCAGATGGTCAATGTGTTGCTGCGGTATTCTGTTCCACTTAATTGAAAGGCCCTCAAACAGTTGTTATCTGGTATTGAACACAATATTTTATTGTAAAATGCGTTTGCACAATATGTACCATATATGGTCAATTGGATTTAAATATGGCGATTGTGCAGGCCATGGTAAAACCTCAATTTCATTATCTTAGGAATACGCATACGAATAGGAATGTACGCACGACCTTGGCAGTAGAAATTGTCGTGAAATAATTGAAATTGGAGACCAGCTTGTTATGCAAACGGTACAACATAGGTACGAGAATAATATCGCGGTAGTGTGTTGCAATTAGAAATCGTTACAGGCAAACGAGATTGGTTCTTCCACCAAGAGTGATGCCATTTCATACCATTATATTGCCGCTTTGCTGTCTATGAACTTCCTGCACAATGGCCAATCGTTCAGCATTGCCAGATCATCTCCAAATTCTTTTCCATCTTGTCTCTGGTCTCTGTCATCTTTGAACAAAGTAGAGGCCCGCTCTAACCCAATTTGCGTGTTCTTGTGCTCACTGAAGTCGTTTCGAAGAAGTTTTTTTGTTGGGAGATTCATCCGTCTGACAATCAGCTCTGTAATGATCTGTTCAAAAGTCAGATTAGACAATGTCGGGTCCAGACGATAGCTTTATTTTAACATTTTGACTGAAGCTTTCTCAAATGACCAAGTCATCTGTGCCCAAGACAGGGAGGACATGGAATATATGATAAGGAAATAAAGGGAATAATATGAGCTGTGGGGACTCAAGATAAATATGTGTAAGACCGAGTACTTATGTATTGGATCCGAGGTTGCAGATATGAAGTTAAGTTTAGAAGAAGAAACTATGAAGAGTTATATAACTGTTAAGTATTTAGGATCCATAATAAGCCGAGATGGTACTTGTATGAAAGGTATAGAAAAGGAAATAGCACGGGGAAAACAAGCCACGGAAACACTCCTTTATATGAAGATATCTACAAATCACCGGAGAGGATAAAATAGGAATATAATGGAAGTAGAATGCCCAATTACAAAGAAGTTGGAAAACAGACCCCTGCAGTAGTACGGGCATGTACAAAGAAGGCCAAAGCACAGGTGGTCGAAAACTTACATAGGAGCTATGGATGTCAAAAACGGCGAACTCATAATGGAAAAAGCCGAAGAAGAAGAAAGCTTTCAGAGTTTATTGTGAATGCGGATCATTGCTGTTATTTATTCATTACATTGAGTACATTCATACTATTTTTAGTAATCTATTTCAAAAGATTATTGAAAAAATCCTCAGTCTACATTACACTTAAAATTACACTGATTTTAACTACATATATATATATATATATATATATATATATATATATATATATATATATATATATATATATATATATATATATATATATATGTAGTTTTATTAGAAGTTTTATTTTATTAGATTAGATTGTACTACGGAGGTCATATTTATATGTTCTACTCGCCTCCCCTCCATATAATATATGTATATATATATATATATATATATATATATATATATATATATATATATATATATTCTTATTTTTCTTATTTCATAGTAAAAATTTCTTTTAAAGCTTTTCCTTTATTTTTAGCTACGATGGCGACTGTGATATCAAATTTTCCTTATCTGGAACACAAATTGGTTGTATTAAGGATTTTCAAGTAAACATTTAATTCTTAAAATTGATAAATACTTTTCCTACAACGCAAAATTTTAGGTTGGAGCCGAGTTGAGATTAGTGTTAAAGCCCTTAATGGTGAAAATGCCGATTGTTGGTGGAATACAAATATTTTTCTTAAATACGCCCGACATTAATTTTGAGTTGGAAGGAATCTCTGGAATTCCAGGATTTAGGTAAGACAAAAGTGTTTGTAAACTTCTTCTTGTTCTTGAGGTAACAATTTGTATTAATATGAATTTAATCATATCAATAAAATTATTGGTTATATATTGATAATTTAAATAGAAATTAAATAAATATTGATGATTGCATTTCGATTAAATTCGAGTCTCTCACCCTTCTCCTACACATGTTTCAACTTTTAAGCTTCATCCCGAAGACTTTGTGAAAGTACTTAATGTAAACGACGCGCACTATCCAGGTGACCATTATTAGTAAAATAACTAACTAACTAGGTTATAACTAACTAACGAGGTTGGTTAGAAATGTCTTGGTTTAATTTCTTTTGATGAATTGACCTTTTTCTGGAACTTTCTAGATTTTCAAGAATACAGTTTTGGTTGATTACTTATGTATTTCTAATAATTAATTCACCAGTTCTACAATCTTTTTACTCCAAAATTTTCAACGCTTCCTGTTACAAAAGTATTCTGTAGTGTACTGGAGGAATCGATGCCAACTTTGACTAGAAAGGATATGGTTTTAGAGGCGCCTATATTCGAATAATTCTACGGATGGTAGCTTCGCACCATTACCTCCTCGAGTAGCTGCGTTAAAGTCCATGGTTCCCCTCATACTGAAGATTACTATAGCAAAAATATGTCATAGGTGGGGTAAAACTAAGTTGTATAACGATAATGTAATTACAGCTCAATGTCTATGGATGAACAATTCAAAGTTTAACTTGTTAAACTGTTTGTTCGGACTGTAAAGTCGATGCCTTCTGAGATTAGTTTTATTAGAAGTTTTATTTTATTAGATTAGATTGTACTACGGAGGTCATATTTATATGTTCTACTCGCCTCCCCTCCACTGGTTTCGGCGTGAGGGGGCGTGTCGTCGTTGTTGAAGTATATTTGGGGTTGTTAAGACTTTCATTTAATTCATCAAGTGTGGATTTATTTGATAATAAAATCAATTTTATTTTAGCTACTTTATTCGGCAGAAAATTGAAGAACGAATTAAAAAGAAGTTAGTCTTTCCAAATAAGATTACTAAACGATTTTCAAAATCTGTGGAAGCTGCTGAACTTAAATCACTTGAACCTGCTGTAAGTATTTTAGGTATCTTTCTAGGTTATTGCCGATCTTTTATTTTAAAACTAGAGTAAGTTTATTACTAGGTATATAACTGAATTAGTTAGTATATCATATACTCGTATTATTTAACTTTAACAAAATTTAAATCAAAACGGCTACAGCAATTTTAAGTTATTTTCGTATTACAATGTAAAAATTGCTGGCATATTAATTGAAATATTTTATAATTTACTTCTAGAAACGAAACAAAACAAATTTGGAAGTATACATAACGATTTAATGAAAATTTTGCTCTACATTTGAATTTGGACATTACAAATCATTATTTTTTATTTTTCATACATTCAAGGCAACGCTTTGAAATTTTTATACTTGATTATGGCTGTCCAGATCAAGCCAGTTATCACTAGATCAGTTACATCCGCCAGACGTCCACCAATGTCACTTTTCACCCAGTAAATAGCACGGAGTAGGGATGAGAATAAAGCTGGTCTCCTGTATCTATCATACAATAAACTTTCTCTTACTCCGAAAACTTTAAACAACAGCGTGTTGTCCAAACATGGCTGATCAGTTCAAAAACCATAATTGCACGATCAATATGAGTAGCAAAAAATACAGATGTTGATGATCTGAATGCGACCATTTTGAAGTTTTTTCCGGGAAGTTGTTTTCGTTCAAATCAGTTGGCACTGTTATAAATCCCGATGACGTAGTCAACTATCCTACACAGTTTTTAAATTCAATGGAATTGCCTAGACTTCCACCTAACAATTTAAAATTAAAAGTAGGATCACTTGTTATTATACTGCGTAATGTTAATCAACCTAGAGTATGCAATGGAACGACTGACTGTGAAAAGGCTATAATGTCACTGAGGCAACGATCATCACGGAAAAATACAAAGATGATGTTTTGATCGCGCCTATACCTACGATTCCAGCGAACGTACGAGCATATCCCGTACACATTCTCCCGTTGCCGTTTGGCTTTTACAATAAAAATAAACAGATCACAAAGACAACCTTTGGAAGTATATGGAATTAACTTATAGTTTCCATGTTTCGCGCGTCGGAAATCTTTGTATATTTATGCAACGCAAAAAAATAAAAAAAGTTTGCTGAATTAAAGATTTGAATTATTTTGAATATATTCTACAGCATAAATATTTTGTTGTGTACAATATATCTAATCGAATGTTATCTCGTTTGTTGGTTTATGCGGCATTTAATCATTGACATGTATGTTAGAAATATTATTATTCTACTATTTTTGTTTTTGAACTATAATTCTTTCTATATTTAATAATTTAAAATTGGAACTGAAAAATGAATATTTGTATTACATATTGAACATTTCTTTAGAACCGACTATAAAACCAATCCTGCTTAATCCCAAAAAGTCAATATTAACCGGAAAGAGTGTATTATTGATGGAGGAAACCATGGAATTAAATTGCTAAATTTAATATACTCAACTTCAATCAAAACTTTCGTATCAACCAAAAAACCAAAATTCTTTTATATATAAATTATTATGCTGACCGACAGATTATAATTTATGTTTAAAAAACAATATATATTTTAGGGTGTTTTGAGGGTTCACGTTTTTGAAGCTAAAGACTTGGAAAGAAAAGATGTAACTGGAAAATCAGACCCCTACGTTGTTCTAACTGTTGGCGCACAAGAATGCAAGACTCCCGTCATCAAACGAGAACTGAATCCAAAGTGGGACTATTGGTGTGAGGTAAATGTCTAGTTACTGTTTTTTATGTTATTAAAGAAAAATCCTTTTTTTAGTTTGTTATTTTGGATCCATTGGGCCAACATCTCCATTTTAAAATGTTTGATCAAGACGATTTGAACGAAGATGATTTTATGGGAAGGTAAAAACAAATAATTTTTTTATAATAATAGATATAAATATAATTTATTTACGTAAATAATTTAAAATTATGTACCTAATAGGTCAATCATCGATATAACAATGGATCTTGTTTTCGGAATGTCAGTGATGTACGAAAAAAATTCTTTCGGTACATATACACTGTGTGTCAGCCAAATGGAATAAATTAGCTAATACATAAATGAGGCAGTATTCTAAAAAGCGGTCGAACACGTAGATTAGTATTTATAGTTGCGCATTGTTTTCCATAAAAACTTTTTATACGGGGTGTATCAGATAACGGTGGCCAATACCAACTTGCTTATTTTAAATAGAACACCCTGTATATTAACTAATTTTTAGATTCCTCAGATCATTTTAGACATTTTTTAGATACAATGTCTTATACCTATCGTTGACTGTTTTGGAAATATTAAGTAAAATGCAAAAAATCACATTTAGAAAAGAAAATTATCTGTTGCCGAAATTGGCTACAACATATTCAAAAACTTCTAAATAATACAAATCTAAACAATAGTGTCAATTTAGAAGATGTTCAAAATGCTCCCCACGAACGTCTTGGCAACACCTTAACCGTGAATAGAAATTTCTTCTAACGTTACTCAACATTTCAGCTGTGATCGATCTAATCGCAAGCGTTATTCGTCTTCGTAAGTCAGCTAAGTTAGTGGGTTTAGTTTTGTATACAATACTTTTCACATATCCCCATAAGAAAAAGTCTAATGACGTCAAATCGGGGGATCGTGGTTTCCATTCCATCGACCCTCGTCTCCCTATCCACCGATTTGGAAATATTTGGTTGAGGTACTGCCGGACATGGATTTGATAGTGGGGTGATGCTTCATCTTATTGAAACCATATCATATTCGCTAGAACTTGTGGGTTTCCTGGATCAGGATACAAGTTGGCCAACGTTGGCGCTACATTATTTTGGAGCAATGCTAAATAATTGTTGCTATTCAAATTGCCATCATATTCTTATTTTCCAGTAAATTTTAATTCTTCTTCTTTCAGTGCCTATTCGTTCCGAATATTGGCAATCATTCTGGCTATAATTATTTTATTGACTGATGCTTTAAATAGATTTGTTGTTGTTGTGGAGAACCATTTCCTCAGGTTCTTCAACCATGATATTCTCCTTCTCCCAATTCCTCGCTTTCCGAATACTTTACCCTGTAGGATTACCTTCAGTAATCTGTATTTAGTGCTGTTTCTCATTATATGTCCGAGATATTCCAACTTTCTCTTTTTAATGGTATACATCACCTCTCTTTCTTTGCCCACTCTCCGTAATACGGTCTCGTTGGTTATCTTGTCTGTCCATGATATCCTTAAATTTTAATTAGTAACGAAATAGCCCGCACGAGGCGCTAAAGGGTGTAAGGGGTGTCAATTCGAATGTGTCGCCAAAAGATGATTAGTATTGACCCCAGCCGCAAGGGGTCCTAATGAACGAAATTTATATGTTGAGTTGCCTATCTATTTCTACTATTATATTATTTATCTCTGGTCTGTATCAACAGATACTAAAAATCTTGGATTTTTACTTTAATTATATTTATTTTTTAGCGGCATTGCAGAAATTCATGCCGTCATTAAGGAAGGAGAAAATGACAAATGGTTTAATTTAGATAATGCTAAACATGGCAAAATTCATTTAAGATTTACTTGGTTAGGATTATCTGCTGACAGAGGAGATCTTCATGCGGTAAGCGTATGTTCAATTATGTAATAAATGTTCAAATTGTTAATAAATTAATAGTACGTTTGTTTTTTTCAAATATTCTACTTTTTAGGCCTCCCAAGAAACAAAATTATTAAAGGTGGCAGACATTAGTACAGCTCTGCTTACCATATATTTAGATACAGCACAAGATCTTCCGGTAAGTTCTAAACATACCTGTTACTTAAAACTGTAGGTCGCACTAAATAATATGCCAGCCACCCCTATAGATTCTACTTTTTAATGACTTACTAATAATATAATAGTAAAAAAATTCCTCTGTACTAACTCGTAAGGCGACTACTTCTTTGGTACTGTTACAGTTACAGAAAAACTCTGACACAGTTAAAATTAGTTTAGTGGAAGGCGTTTTTTATTGCAACAATGTAGATATGCTACAATAAAAGTTTTAGTGTGCACTGTAAATCAATATTCGTTTATATTTATTATATTTTTGGTACCATTTTAGAGAGTGAAGTCTAAAAAACCGGATCCGTACGCTGTCTTGACAGTGGGCAGAAATCAACAAAAAAGTAAAGTAAAAAAACACACTTGTGATCCCATGTGGGAACAAGGGTTTTCATTGTGTGTACCAAACCCTGACAACGACTCTCTTAACGTGTCAATTCTAGACAAAGAAAGTGACTCAAAATTAGGTCAACTAACCTACCACATTTCCGATTTGTTCCGAGCCCCTGATCTACAACTTAGTAAAGAAGAATTTAAGTTGGTCAATTCTACTGGAAAGCTAATATTGTCTCTTCAACTTAGGGTGAGTAGAATTGCTTGAAAATGTAAATATTTGAGTAATATTATATATACATATTCATTTTTAGATCTTGACACATGATAAATTTGAATGTGAGGATAGTGAATCTGATTCGGAAAATGAAGCAGGTGAAATTTCAAGAGAATCTTCTTTGCGATCATCGTCCAGAATGCAAAGATCAAGTAATTATAACTTTTTTATGCTTCTATGAAAAACAACACAAATTCATATTATATGCCAGTCACGCTGTACACGTAAGGACAGATAATTTAGACTAAGGATTTGCTTTGCCCAAAACTAGTGACAAAAATCCCCAACATTTTATTAAATTTTTAATCTGTTCAATAGTTCTTATGATAGTGTACTATTATTATAAATCTCATTTATTGTCTTTATTTATTATAAAAGGGTTCTCACTTTTACAACACTTACAAGTTTATTAAAGTCTTTATTAATTTATATATACGTATTAGACTAATTTATTTCCGCGTTACAATTCAAACTCGTTTAGTTCGGCTAATGGATTAAGTCTACAGTCAAAAGAAACCAACAGCACACACACACAATTCAAACTCAACTAAATTATATTTTCGGACTGCTCGCTTTTCAATAAAATGTTCCATATACACAAATAACCGTTATTCTCGAATCCTGGCGAAGAATCGATGACCTTCTCGAATAGAGTGGAATCCCATCGAAGGCAAACAGGTTCTTATCGGAGAGTCGGAGAATCTAGAAAATATCAGAATGAAATAGAGGTTTACAGTTTAGATCTGAGTCATTATTTATCGTAACAATAGTATTGGATGCGTCTAACTGACTCTTTGGCGCAACGGACACCGGACCGTTGTAGGAAGTAAGGCAGTCACGCTAACGAAAGGATGTTTGTAAGAGATACCAGATACATAGAAATTTATTGCTTACTATGCTGACTACATTATTGAAAAGCAGATTAACATTTAAATAACACTTGTTAGATGGGATATTGGAATATTATTAAGGAGGATTCATATAATAATGAAAATAAACAGTTTCACATTTGATGGTTTTATTCTTCTAATCCAGCGATTTTCCTACCAAATGGGGATAATAGCCAATATATTACTCTACTCTTCAAATAGAGCAATTTATACAGCATTTAGTATCATTTCTTATAAGAAATATTTTACTTAGGCACTTTTATTAAAAGTAAAAATTTTTATCATTTAAAAACCATATAAAATTTACAGCGTTTTTAAAGGTTTTAATATCTAGTATTTTTTCCTTTTTAGTATCTACCTCAAGTAATACTACTCCTCCTCCAAAAACACCTACCCAACCAGAAACTCCAATTTTCGAGCGTGAGGTTGACGAATTCGTGAGGAAAGAATCTGTTAGAGCTTCACAGACGTCAGTTAAGAGTTCCAGTTTTAGAATGTAAGTAAAAAATAAACAAATATGAACACAAAATGTACACATGGAAACATCGGTTTGAAGGATTATGCTTTTTAGAATTCCATGCTTTCATTTTTTTGTAAGGTTCATGTCCTACATACCAACCCATCATAGATCAGCCTCCAATAGATCACTTAAAATTTTAACCCTTTTTTTTAACCCTTAAAATTTGTTTTAATTAAAAAAAAAATCCAAAAACAGGTAATGGGATTTAAAATTTTGTTCGTGCATTTATACATAACTTGGATATTTGGATGATATTCTGTATTAACAAAACGAAATATATGCACTAAAGCTTGAGTTTATGCCAAATCTGTATTCTACATAAAATTGAAGTGGTTTCCAATACGTTTTAACTGATCTGTTAATACAAATCATAATATATATTCTTTTTTAGAAAACCAGAACTGGGGCAACTGGAGGTATCACTATTTTACAGCGCACCTAGACAAAAACTTATTGTGACGGTTCATAGACTTTCGTAAGTATTTTAATTTTGTAATTATAAAAAAGGTAAAGAAATAATAAATAAGACTTACTCACAATCAATTTGATTTAACTATCAGACGACCGGTTTCGCTTTCTACAATATGCAAAGCATCCTCAGTTCTCGATACAAAGTTAAACAAATGATGCCGGTACTCTATTAATAGATGGATGGTAGAACATGGTTGAAACTACTTTATATTGTTGAATGGAGAACTCAATTCTATTATTGCAGTTGTTTGACAGTAAACGGGAAGTTCTTGAGGAGATAGATTTGATCCAATGAATTTGAGATATGCGTGAGATTGTTTGTTAAATGTAAGTGATGTAATATACTATTGTGTTATTAAATACACAATACTGCACATTGTTCCCAAGACTATGATGTAGTGCCCCTTTTAAATTCAATGTTTGTTTCATCCCTTCTAAGTGTTTTCTGTTTTAGTGTGTTTAAATTATCCTTAATTGTTTGTATTTTAACATTTTATTTACTTGACTATTCCAATAATTAAATCATTGCCAATAGAACTTTATCAAAGTAATTTGATAACTACAAGTTGGAAAATAATTGCACACCCACACAATTTTTACATCTACACTTATTCATTGTCATAAAACTGTCACCTTCATAAAACAATTACTCAATAAATAACACACATTTCAAAAATATATCTCTGGAATAAGTATAAATAGCCTTTAATAACACAATAGTATATTACATCACTACATTTAACAAACAATCTCACACATATCTCAAATTCATTGGATCAAATCTATCTCCTCAAGAACTTCCCGTTTACTGTCAAATAACTGCAATAATAGAATTGAGTTCTCCATTCAACAATATAAAGTAGTTTCAACCATGTTCTACCATCCATCTATTAATAGAGTACCGGCATCATTTGTTAAACTTTGTATCGAGACCTGAGGATGCTTTGCATATTGTAGAAAGCGAAACCGGTCGTCTGATAGTTAAATTAAATTGATTGTGAGTAAGTCTTATTTATTATTTCTTTACCTATTTGAAATGGACTCACACAAGCAACACATTCATGATTTGTAATTATAATTTTAATTTATGATCGATACTTTTTTTTAGAAACCTACCTTTAAAGGATCCAAGTAATATTCCCGATCCCTATGTCAAAGTAAAATTAGCTGCCCCCGGAGCCCACAGAGTTAAGAACAAAACTAAAGTATGTATTTTGATATATTTTTATCATAATAAAAACGAAAATTCTCTTATTAAATGTAATTTGACAAGATTTATAGATAGCATACAATTTTCGTTCTGAATTGTCTTAGAAGATATCTGTATTGTCTGGTTATTTAATATCATTAAGACGACTACCTTCATCATAATCCAGATTTTCTTTGAAAATAAGTACATATTGAAACGCAGATGTGATAATTTTTTGTTTTTCTCCTCGCTGAATCGAGATTGCACCTGTTAACTTATTTTGCACTTTTATATTAACGGTTTCTTATAGCTTAGAACATGGACGTATACGTCCATGGCTTAGAATCATTAAAATTCTCTACAATGACCAGCAGTTATATTAGAGATCCTTACCGCCTATATTGACCGTTTTTAGCATGTACATTAGCTTTTCATGTTTTATTTCTTGAAACAACTTTTTCTCATCTATAAAACATACAGATATATTTTAGTTTACTTCTCTACAGCTTTGAAATACAACCTAAATTGCAAATAAGTCTTGGCAAATACCTAAGTCATCTTGGAATCTGAACAAAATGTACTTATCCTACTAAATATTTAATTTTTTAGGTCGTTATGGACAACTGTGATCCTGTCTATGAAGAAACATTTGAATATCTCCTTTCCTATTCAGATCTTCCAAATCACAAACTAGTTTTTACAATTAAGAGCAAAAAGATGTTTAATTCGTTTATTATGGGACAAGTGAGTATTTTAATTGTTACAAAAAATACACCGGGAAGAAGAACTTAGAAGTCTGAACACTTTATTCGATTCTATAACCATTTACATTTTACCAGCCCCGTTACTGTTTGTCCTACCACAAATGCACACTGCCAGTATCGATTCAATAGAACTTCAAGTCCTGTTTGTTTATACCTATTATTTTAATCCGTTTGACATTGAGTTTAACATCAATAATTATTTATAAACAATTTGCCCTCCTCTGGTTCACGTACTATTAAACATGCATTTATTATTAACCTAACGGTTCTGTTTATATAGGAATAAGCCACATTGATTATAATGAAAATTACGTTCTGCATTCTGCTAATTGATTTGCTACACATTTTGCTTCATTAGGTAAGATGAGAGCTGCTTCTTTGATTTTTCTCAACTGTATGTATGTCACTTTTCTTGGAAAATAAGTACTAATATTTGCCGTACAGTAAGACTATGAATATTTTATACTGTAAACTATATTTTGTTCTTTCACAATTTTAGATGATATTAACACGTTGCCTGCCGTCTCGGTGTATGTGACCGAGAAAAAAATGCTCTGCACGCCAGCGAGGTTTATTTGACCGAGAATTTTAATGTAACTGTGATACTGTCTCGTTGACTATGACGTGAACGGAAAGTATTACAAAATCCTCTACGGCAGGCAACGTGTTAAACTTAAATACCTTCTCGAGTACACTATTTTATATTCTAAACTATGTCTTGTCGTTTTAGGTAGTAATAAATTTAAATACCTTCGAAAGTCTTCACGAACCATGCCGAGAATGGTATGAATTGGCTCATGCGGAGGATTCAGACTAGCAGTGCCTGAAATGTGCTATTTGTTAAATGTACATGTATATTTGCTATATTTTTATGTAGATATAACATATAATTTTTAGAAATTGTATTTACAACAACCTTTAACGTCCCTGTTACTAAATGAGTAAATAAAATTGTATATGGTTTGTTATTTTTTAATTTGTCACATGGATAACCATTTCATAATCAAGAAATAAGTTCTGCCTTTTACAAAACATGTTAAAATTGATTGTAGAGTCAATAACAGTTGTATTCACTCAGTACATCATAGTTTCATACATCACAGATTGGGATTTTACCATCGAGCAAAAAGGCAAAAGAGGGAATCTAATCGTTATGAAAACGAGACCAAAAAAGCGGCCTCTGATGGCGGACATATCCGGAAATGCGAATGCGCCAAATTTAAATTTTCTGACACTTATGAACAGTAGCTATAAAATAGTTTTCAGAATGTGTCTTAGACGAGAAAGTTTTAATTAAATATTAATGATAACATTCTAAAATGTGAAACAATTGTTAAAAATCTTCAATATAAATAAGATTTCATGTGACAGTTGGGACAAACAATAACATAACCCAACTAAATTTGATTTCTTACACAAGGAAAGACTCTCTTTCCTTGTTTAATTTGGCGTCTCAAGATGGCACTTCCTGTCTAACAATATGTTTGCCCCCACTTACATTCCCTGTTGTGTCTTTTTGCTCGATCGATTTTACACACAGATTCTGCACAGATTGACATATACATCAGCTAAAATAAATGTCATTCACTGACATGTATGATTTACAAAATGCATAAAATGCTTGAAATGACAACCATTGTCATATAACCGCAAAATATGGAAACCTATAAAACAGGAGAAGGATCGATATTGGGCGACCTTAACATTTGTGTACACTATTTTACCTGTTTGCTTACTTTGTCGCTAGGGCGGCGCTGGTGTTGAAAAGGTGCTATATAGTATTACATTATAGTAAATGTTAACATTTCGAAAATAATTATTCGTAGTTAAAACATAAATAAATAAATCTATAAGACCCTTGTATATTTGTAATTTGTAGCAACCTTTGTAAGACTTTACTTTGAAATGTTTTGATACAACTAAATTTTCAAATGCCTTTTTCTTTTTTCTTTAGATTTATTTAAATTTCGGTTTTCTGATCGATAGTGATTATGCAACTAATATAATATTATAATAATAATTACAACGACTATTTAAATTCTTACCTGACATTTTTGAAATAAAACACTAATTTGGTTCTAAAATGAACAAATTTTATGAAATAGGTAAAAATATAAAACAAGAGGTATTCACTTTAAAATTCAAAATAATAAAGTACAAAAAGTGTCAACACCGCAACTGTCAAATAGGTGTTACCAATTTATGCCAAAATATCACCTTCGTTCGATTACAGTTACAGTGTGTTTCGAACAAATGTTCATAAAAACGCTTTATAATGCATTTATACAAATTAAATGAGACATATTATTGTGTATTTCTTTAAGTTAACATTAATAGAAATCTTTAAATATTATTTCTACGCGTATATAATAAAATATGTCTAGTGGCTGTAATGCCAGTGTACTCGTCAAAGTGATTTTAAAAAAGAACACACCTACCGCCTAAATATTTCGTGTTGGTATCATGTGACCTCACGGGCTATGACGTGCAACGGTAAGTAAATTAGATGAAGTATATGTGCCTTATAAATAGAAAAGGCATAATTGTGGGGTGTTTAATTAATACACAAAATATTTAAAAAATATTTATTCAGACGTACAAAAAAATGAAAAGTGATGTGTCTAAAAACTCTTAATTCGACAATATTAAGACACTTCTTAACGACAATGACCTTAAAAATTAAATATACACTAAATAAAAGTAAGTTTAGTTCTAGTCTGGTTCACTTGCCAAACATTCAATTCTTCGTATTCTTCTATACAAGCATCCACCTGGTCAGGATTGTAACCTTTGCTAGCACATTTTTCCAATGCAGATGAAACTGTAACAAATTTCTTATCGCCTGCCAACTCAGTAATGAGTGCGTATATTTTGTCATTTATATTTGGTGGTCTAAAAATAAAAAAATAATTACAATCAATACAATAATAAATTACTAAAATTGCATATTTTAATTTTCGTATTACATTATAGGTAAACATTAAGCAAAAAATAATTATGGTAAAATAATTATATAAATCAATAGAGAGAAGTAATTTCGTAATAGTCAACTATTAATTGTACTTAATTCACTAGTCTTACATCAAAAAATCGATGCTATGTGACAGAGCTAGAAGTACAGATATACCACAGACATGCAAGGTGGAGAAAATCAAGGACTGGGTAAGAAGTAGAAGAGTAGAATAGAACAATCATATAAGCCATGAATGACAACAAATAAAGTAGTAAAGACGGAGAGAGACGGTTTTGCAATATGAAGATAAACAACTTACTCGAGGCACATTGAAAGTCTGTTATGTCTACACAAAACAAAAAAGAAGAGTACAAAGTGCCTTCTTGAGATAACTAAAAACCATTTTTGATTTTTCAATACGAATTAGTTGTATCTTTCAATTTTATTTTATAACTGTGATCCCATTTATCATTGATTTTGCAGAATAGGTAGCATATTTTCTATCTTATTCTAATGGTGTATTGTTTATTGTAAGTTGGGCGTTTATGTTTGTGTTCTTCCTAATAAATAGTATTTTAGTCTTTTTGCAAGTTTAGTTGTAGTCCGTGTTCGTTGCATGCCTTGACAACATTATCCATTATTCTCTGGAGTCACTGTTTACTATTTGCCAGCCAGTGTCATATGCATATCGAAAACTTAACTGTTTATTGTTATCTCCTTTTCTGATTCATACAAACTGGAAAACATATTCCAATAATGATCTTTTCGAAGTGTATGTTAAGTAATACACTGTCACAAATTAACACAGGATATACTTAGCAGAGAACTGCCAAACCGTCATTATAAAACAAAAATTTTGCAAGAAAAATCTACTATAAGACGCCAAAATAACTGCAGGAACAGCAAATTCAACATAACCAACAAGTCTAAAGCACAATAAAACAATATAAGTGGTAAAGATTATATACACCATTTCCATTACCTTTTTTAACTTGAATTGAAAATTTGAACTAAAATTTTAAGTAAATAATGAACTGAATGTTTGTACACTCACAAAGGCTTTAAATAATTTAAATACAACAAAAAATATATACATACCTTTGCCCTTTGTTTTCGAAAGTGTGTTTTAAAGAATCCTTACTCATCTCCAAAAGCCTGATCGCTTCATTTACATCATCTTTTTCTACAACATTTGATAAGCGTAGACGAGCTAAAGCTGTTGAGAGACGCAAAATACCAAGAAGATTTCTAGCTGATGTGAAAGTCATATCGGCAGAGTTGCGGGCTTCTTTTCTTAACTCCACATATGCAGCTAAAATTTTAAGTTTAATTGTAAACTTTTTGACAAAGCATTTCGACCGGAATGAGGAAAAGTTAAATAAGAAGTATATAAGTTTAACTATTTACTACTATTCTAACAGGAGATGAAAACTTACCCACAATAAAATCTGTCAACTCTTCAGGTATAGCAGGATCCTTCATTTTACACATAGAGATGTACTTCCTCATAACTTTCATATCTAATGCTGCAACTTCCATTGGCGGTTGTTTGCTATGTTGGTGGACATATGTTATGTGCTTGGCGAGTTTTAGATCATTGTCACGGTCAGCTTTATCTTGTATAAGCCATAGCAAGTCAAAACGTGATAAGAGAGCAGCTGGCAACTGGATATTCTGTTCTAAAGTTCGCTTGGGATTATAGCGTCCGTAGGCAGGGTTAGCAGCAGCTAGGATTGATACACGGGCATTTAATGTAGTCATAATGCCGGCCTAGAATAAAAATGTATTTAAAATATCGCTAAATAATTAACCAGTTTTTCACTAATAACTTTTAAGTCTTTTTTTTTTGTTTTTAACGTTTGATACCATTTTAAAAAAATACAGAAATATATACATACTTTAGCAATACTGATTGTCTGTTGTTCCATAACTTCGTGAATAGCTGTTCTATCCTCGTCAGCCATTTTATCAAATTCATCAATGCAACATACACCTTGATCAGCTAATACAAGAGCTCCACCTTCTAACATCATTTCACCTGTCATTGGATCTTTCATTACAGAAGCTGTTAAACCTACACCAGATGAACCTCGTCCAGTTGTATACTGACCTATAAGATATATTTTTAAATGTAGTTTTATTGAGATTTAAAATAAGTTAAAAAAAATGGAATCTAACAATAAAATACTACAAATTTTTATTTTCACACCTACAAAATTTATTAATTTATTCATCTAAAAGGTGAAGTGCATAAGTAGAATATGTTTTATTTTTATTGAAAACCCTTTGTTCTGCTTTACGTTTGTTAAGAGTTCTACCAGTTTGACCAATGTAAGTTTTTGGGCAGTTTTAGGGCATTTAAGTTTGTATACACTAATGGGTAAGTGTTTTTTATTTTGACTTTTGCTGTTCTTAATACATTTGGTAAGTTGTTTGTTCTGAAAGCTAGTGTTATTACTTTCTTTTTTATGTATTAAGCTATTTTTGTTGATATTTTGCCTGTATATGTAATCGAGCAAAAGGTACTGGTCTTTTTCTCTGGTGGTGGAAAGACTAATTTCAGGGCTTTCTTATGGAAATCAAAAGATGGAAAAGGGGAGTATTTTCGAAGTGTGTAAAAGAATTGAATTCCTAGCTGATCGCTTTCGGCATAAAAAGCCATCTTCGGAGCTATGGTCAAATATTAAGTATCCTACTAAGATAGATCATATGGTAAGCAGAAAATGCTGGTTCTATTTTGTATTTTTTGTCTTTTATCAATGAAAAAATACAAAGAACTGTACACTGGACTCCACAAAAAAACACATTAAAACATTTGGTCATGGTACAGGTGTCAGAACCCAACCATTTTCTTGGAGCTTAAAGAAGCAGATCTATTTTTTAGGTGTTAATATATTTCTGTTACAGTACATTATTGAGTGATCAAATACTAAATTTTTGTAGAAGTGCTACATTATGCCTCATATTTGCGTCTCCTCATCTCTCTGGATATTGTCTTTTTGTATTTCTCTAGTACTAATCAGGGGTTACTTGCACATACTGATTGTCTGTATACGCATACACCTTGTATTAATCTTTTTTTTTTAATTTTTTTAACTATTTATTAAATCAATAATTATTCTTTGTATGTATGTTCTTTTGCTGAAATCTTGCGTTGGATATGGCCAATTTATATTCTCGACATATTTCAATTAGCCAACTTCCATTGTCGTTTCTAATTTCATCTTCTCCGGGTCACTTTTGAAAACAAAATTGTCCTAATAGAGCAAGATCCCAGGGCCGCCAGACGTTTATACAATAGTACTTACTTTTCTTAAAGTCTCAGCCCTTATTTTTATGTATGTTTTAGAAAATACTATTAAAAATTAATAACTATCATTTCATTGGAGGTAGCTTTTACAAGACGCTTTAAAGCTTGCAAAAATAATGTAACTTTACTTACATTGCGACTCTTGACTTTTATATATTATACTCAAACATTGTCCATCGTTTGTTGAGTTACAATATTACTTGGAGTCCAAGGTTGGAGGATGCGTGACATAGATTGGAAAGTATATAATTGACTACATATATATGCAGTAAAAAATTCTTTAAAATTACTTTTTAACTCAATTTTACACTTCAAATTGAATTTACAAAAATTATGCATTGAAATATATAATTTGGTCTATACAATGTCTGTAATTGTCTTTTTTACATTTTTTGTATGTAGATATTTATTTATAAGAACCAATGGCTCTTTTATCTACAATGTCAGCTAGTTTTCTTAAAATCCGTTAAACTATAATCACTTACGGCAATAATAATCATATTAAAAAATTTGTTAATAATTTCCATAACTTAAATAAACATACTTCTTGGTGCCAATCTATTGATATATCCTAACAACTGTGATTTGGCAACACCAGGATCTCCCATAAGGCAAATGTTAATATTTCCACGAATTCTCATTCCATCAGGCCTTTTATCAACACCACCAACCAAAAGAAGTAACAACGCCTTTTTAACATCCAAATGTCCATAAATTTCGGGAGCTAACGACATCGCCAATTTTGTATAGAAATCATCTTCTGTAAGTGTTGCCAATTCCTCGGGAGTAAGAAGGTTGTCTGAATTTTCCATGTCCATCTTGTTTAATGAAACTATTTTCTAAAAAATACATGTTTTTTAAACTTAATTAATTTTTAATGGCTAATCAATTTACTTACATGAGCTTCCATGTATGTATCTGATAAGAGTCCGCCCATTATCTGTTTGAAACCTTGTTTCAAGAGTGGTAAGAAAACACCGGTAACAGCAACATGGTCACCAGGTAATGCTTGCCTTGTAACTTCCCCTCTACAAAATATTGTTAAAGTGCGTGGAATGTGACCCACTGGAACTTGATCACTCTAAAATAAAAAAAAAATAGTAGCTAAAAGCCCAAAGTAAATTTCTTTTCAAATATGTTATAACTACATATGCCTACATAGGAACTTGTGAAGAAAGTTGTAACTGTTCAATGTTACAGCCCCATATTTGTTCAAAGTCATATGTTTTCAGACTACGGAAGGTTCTACTGAGAGTTTATTTTGATAGGAACTGACCTGAGAGTCTGGGCAGGTCCAACTTTACTGGGATGTTTTCATCTATACACAGTGCGTCCCAATAGCAAACAGGGCATGTAAGACAATAGGACAGGTGTGAATAAGGATGGGCATGCACTATTAGTTACTGTACTAAGGAAAGAGTGACATTTGATAACCAATTATAGTTTTTAAAAACTATTTTTTCTATACTATACATTATAAAATAATACATATTCTTGAATTTATAATGTTGCATGGCTCTTAGGCACAGCAGACTTAATTCACCTCTTTAGGTTTACACATGTACTTATATATCCCCTTTTAGAGACTTTATACAGATTGAACGAATTTAAAACGGATTATACAATTTAATATATGTCTGTTTGAACTGCATTTGAAATAGTGGACCAATATAAAACTTGGACAAAAATAAATCCATACCTGGGTTTAGACATTGTATAAAATATCGTTCAACTATCTGTCTTGCAAGAATGTTGTTTGTGTAATAATGTTGCCAATCGCCGTGTAATAATCCGATTTGTGGATCTTTTTGAGAGTTACATCTTCTTCGTATCTTTAAGTAAATCGGATATTTGCCTATATTTTTCATTGTATTTACCAATCTACTACAACAGACTAACAACAAAAATAAATTTAATGGATTGTAGTTATTTTTTTTTTTTCTTATAAATATTTTATGGATAACACCTTATTTGAGAAACAGGAATGAGGTTGACAACACCGCTCAAAGAAGGGCTTGTCTAAAGTAGCGATAACTGGTTTGACAGCATAATAAAATCGTAGATTTATGTGTAGCTTTCAATTTTTAAGATTTCAGAATCCAGTAGCCCGCTGAAGTATTGGATTTTTATAATATAATTATTTTACAACCTTTTGTTGGCCAACCACCTACAGCAAAATTGTGCCGAAATACATAATATTTTGTATGTTCCGAATTTATTTTGTTCAATCTGTATGTGTAAATATGTTAATAAATATTCTATTCAATTATACACATAATAAAGATTAACTAATTACTTACATGTTCCTGTATTTTAACTTCCTGGAATTTAACAAATTTTGATCCTCTTGTTTGCAAGTATAATCTTCCACCAGACCTATTAGTTTTGCAGTCAGCACTTTGGCACATATCAGCTGGCATAAAACTCAATGCATTGACAGGTTGGTATGTTTCTGCCCCACATTGATCACAGGTATATGTAGCAACACACATCATAGGTTTTACTTCAGTACAACGAGTAACAATACCTCTAACTGTTACCAACTGACCAACATGATCAGCTTTGATTTCTCTTATTGGTACTGCCTTATTTGTACTAAGGTCTTGGAAGTAAATCTCACTGTAATGAAAGTATGTTAGACAAACTTTAAACAATTCAGAAAAAAAATATTATAAAAAATTAAAAATGCTTGTTTGTTTTTGACCTAGTAATTCCCCATATCAACAGCTAATCTGTTCTGCACATTATCGAGGTTGCATGAAACCATAGGCAGCGGAATAAGAAAGGGGACTCATTGAGCCCTATGTTCTTGCTGCTTGCAAATAAACACTTACATTTTATAATCTATATATTAACTCCACCACGTTAAGTTAATATATGAAAATTTACATTAAATATTGCATAGTGTTCAGTTCAGGGACCAAATGTGAAAGATGTCCAGTCTCTAAATATCAGATGGAATATGGAATAAAATGCAATAGCATTATTAAATAAGAAGTTGATTGTTTTGGAAATTAATTTGTCATTTTTTATTACTCCTTATATTCTGAAAAAATATGTAACACACAATGACACAATTTGAATAAAACAAAAATAATTTGGTTTTCATGGATTAACAATTTTTAAAATGTTTAAAATTATCATCTATTGTATACTTACTATCGGCGCATCAGTTCGGGAGGAAATTTATTCCTAGCTTCCCTGTGTTCATTTGGTTGTCTTAATCTATTTTCCATCATCAAGCGATGTTCAATATAAACATCCAGAGCATCTTTGGCTATTACATCTTTCTGAACAAATGTAGGTAACAGATCGAACACAATGTCGCCAAGAATTGTGCTGTATCTCCTTGTATTGGATTGTATAGCCCTGGCGAGATCATCGTCAAAATCGTTCACATCATCCAGTTCTACCCACATACCAACTTGTTCTCGATGTGCTAACTTTGTTAATTGATTTGAATATTTGAAGTTTTTGCTACCAGAAACATCTTGTATACAGTATTCCATCAAAAACGTCTTGAGTTGTTCTGTAGTATAGTATAGAAATATGGTTTATTTTTATTTATTAAATTTACACTATGCTTACCTTTATCCTTATCATAATCTCTGCGAGCCATTTTAAGAAACTGATTTTCTATCTACCTCTTGCTGCAATTTATTTTAAAATCAAGTTCAAACTTTTAAGAAGCCACCATTAGTTTATCCACAATTTGCGCGGGAAACTGAATACCAAATGTCAGTTATGTCAATTTTATTGAATTGAAGCTAGCCATAAACGTTTCCGTTTAGACCACAGAATAATAAACAATTATTCTGTGGAAGACATAGGTGTAGACTGTTAAAAATGGCAGGGTTAAAAAATACTTTTACATTACATTCTATTTATATCGATATCGTTCATATTACATTTACTGAGAATAAAAATACATCTAATATTTATAACTGATGTATTATTGCCCTTACCCTCGATTTTCTTTATAATAAAATAATGAAAGAATTTACTGTTCATCTTTTAAGTTTTTTCACCTTAAATATTGGTATTTTCCTTATGGATGAATACTTACTTGAATCTGAAAATAAAAGAAGTTGAATTTAGATCATTTAAAGTTGTCTAACTACTAGTAGAAGTTGTATGTTGTATCAGCTCAGCTTGTTAAAATAATTTCTATAACTGAGATTTAAATGCTCATATTAAAATAAATAAACAAATAAATGTAAATTTCAGAATTTTATATAATGTTGTTACAAATAGGTAAGTAGTTAAATCTTTATTTGACTTTTTAAAGTATTAATTAATTATCTTTTAAGCATGTTTAACAACAACAGGTTTGTTATGGGGCGCAACAAACCCAATTATCAAGAAAAAATCTCGAGGAATTACAAAAGTTACAGCTGATTCTAAAATACTTCAATTTCTCTTAGAAATCAAATTTCTAGCAACTAATTTGGAGGTACCTACTTAATTAAAAATTTGTATTAACTGTTTTTATTCTTTTTATTTCTATACTTAAATTTACTCATACTCTGAAAACGCTATAAACTAACTAGAGATAGAAAATTTTTACAGTAACTTTCTGCATAATCCTCAAATACAATTACAAATTTTAGAGAAAAACGCAAAACTTCCTTCAAATGGATTATTTTCAGTTAGATATTTTCTCTAGAAATATGCTTAAATAATGATCTTATATTATGAAACTTCTTAACACTATGTGACATTTTTTCATTATTTCTCTTTTCATGATCTTGTACTACTTTTAGTAGGTACTAATAAAAAATAATTAGTCTGGATAATCCATTAGCCAAATATACTGAGTGTTTCTGGATTGCTTGTGGTGTTGGGTTGTTTTCTTTCTTCAATCTTGTGGAATTCTTTGTTTATAAATGACCATAAGTAGTCATTCTTTCTCAAAACCTTTGATAGCAGGTTTTTTCTTCCTGAAATGCATTTCTTATCCTGCAATTATTTTAATTTCCTTTTATGATGTTTACATTGTGGTTGGAGCCATAATTTAAATATCTGTTGGTGTGGGTGGGTTTTCTGTAGATGTTGTGTACATATCATTTGTCTATTTTTCTGGTGAGCACATCCAGAAAAGGAAATGAATTAGTGTTTTCTTTTCCATGGTGAATTTAATTGAATCTTCTTTATTGTTGATGTCCTTCATAAATTTATTCAATGCTTTTGGTCCTTGAGGCTAAATGGACAATGTCAATTATATCGTTTACATATTTGCACCATATTTTTGGGTTATTTGTCTTGTTTGTGTACAATGTTTTATATATCTGCTAATAATCGAGATAAGGATGAGCCCATAGCTAATCCAACATTTTTACTTATAGAAATCGTTATCTAGTCGAAAATAAGTTTTATCTGTGCAAAGTGTTACCAGCTCCATCATAGCTGATAGGTACATTAGTTTGTTGTCAGTATTATTTTTAAAGCTGTCTACAATGGTACATTGGTGATATCAAAATTGTTTAGCATGTTGCTGGAATCCTATTTCTGCTAGTATTTTCAAGAACTGCTGTCAATTTTTGATAAAAGATGTTGGGTTGTATGTTACAGGCTGTATTATGTCTAGGAGGAACTTCGACAGTATGCTGTAATTTTAATTATAATCAATTGTGGGTTAATCCTATGTAAACAAATTCTTTAAAGCTGCTTTAAAAAAGCAGTTTGAGAATAGTATTGTTATTTCATTTGTAAGACAACATTCCTGTACAGTTAGTTTTCCAGTTTGTATGTGCTCTTTAAGGTTCTAAACAGGCAATATTATGATGTCAAAGAAAATGAAGAACTCTTAGAGGACATTTTGGATTTAAGTTGAACTCTATTTTACTAGGCCCTGTTTTGTAATCTTCGGTTTCATTATCCCATCTCCCTAACTGAAATTACACACTCCAGCAAAAACTGTTTTGTTTGTTAGATACATTATATATCTACACATTCTTTTAAGTGCATTAAATTGTAAAATATGCAAAAGTTTCCAGTCAACAATATTTAACAACATAAATCATAAAAGTTAAAAAAACTAGACTAAAAATAAAATATGCAATATTTCATCTCAGTGTACAGTAGTATTTTTACCTTTATTTTGACATGTTTCAGTATTTATTTCCCATGTTGTTAAACCAATTAGGGTCCGTAATATTTTACATAACACTTAATATATCAGACTTAACATTGGCTGTACCAGTAGCAAACTCACTGACATTTGTTTTCACTGCAATTTCTGGGTGGATTGTAGAAGGAGAAATTCCAAAGAAAGGTAATAAATGATTGATTAAATAATTAAAATTAAATGCAAATATAATATTTAGTTTATTGCATTGCATTTGAAATTTTGTGCAGTTACTCATAAACTTATATTTTACATTGGTGGTATGAAAAGTTGTTGTCTGATAGTGAAAATAACAATAATTTATGCTTTCAAAGAACTTCTCTTTTTCAACATCATCATAATCATCCTGTTTTAGGTCCACTGCAGGACATAGACTTCCCCTGTTTTGTATCCGTAGTGTTCGGTCTGAAGGGGTCACAAATCCTGTTTTTTTTTTTTTTTGTTAAACTTCCATCAAAAGAGCTGTGGTCTAGACAAAAATCAACAACTCCCCCGCTCACAGATATCAGATCTATAAAAGATACATATTCCATATTTAGTATCTGATATGCTAATATTTAGTACCTATTCTTTTGGATGTCCAGCTTATCATCCTGTGATATTTCTTCCAATTGAATGGATTCTTCTTCAGTCTCCTGCGCAGAAGTGATTGTCGAAGGGCTTTGACTCATTGTCCCCAGCTTACATATATTTCTTTCAATTAAACTGCATAAAACTAGGATGATGGAACTGCTTATAAGGCTTCCAGTGCAGCGTGTTCATTTCTACCTCGGTCTCTTTGTCGACTCGGAGACTCACATCAATGGCTGGCTTGGGATGATCTAGTGGTCTGCCTTCAGTCCTTTATTTTGTTTACCAAGATGGGCTAATGTCGCCATCAGATTCCTACTTTTGGTCGGTGGAAGGTACTCCAGTACACATTTAGATTTAGGGAGTTCCTTTATTCTCAGTTTTGTTTTTAAAGAAAGTTTCTTGTTATATTAAAGGATTTTTCTTCTGCATGTATCAAACGAAAGTACCCATTCAAGTTCATGAACAGATCTCAAATCGGGGAGTACATAGAGATTCAACAGTAAATTTTATTAGGGCATTTTATGAACTCTTATTTCATTTTCAGACACCATTGTCTCCGGACAGTTCTTGGAGATCACTACTGTTTTTATCTCCATTAAAGCAGTTTTTTAACTTTTACCTCGAAAATTTTTTAGGATATTGCTCTGCTATTAATAGGTTTTGAGCATTTTTGGTAGACAGCATTCGCTTATCAGCCTTTTTCAAATCAATTCTCCCTCAGGTGGAGATGCCCGTTATATGATGATCTTGCTAGTCTCAGCAACCTACTCCCTCATCTTCCTTTGAACTGCGAATAAGTATTGCCGAGATCCCTCAGGTTTCTCGGCATTTTCTGTAAGAAAATGTATCTAATGTCGGTCTCTTCTCGTATGTTGTGAGGAATGATAACTTTTCTTTAGTCGGCTGAATATCCTTTTTGGCACGGTTAAATATGCTTTTATCGTGCGTGTTTCTATTCTCTTTGCCTCCTGGCAGTAGTCTCCCTAGCTCAAGCTCCATCACCACGTCAAAGTGGCAGAGCACGATAGGGACAATTTTTACTTTCAACAGTAGTAGTTTTTATTGAACAATATTTGCTACTAATTGGTGAAATTGGTTATTTCTGTGACTCTCCTGGTAAATTCAGAGACTGCTTATAATAGTAGGCATGTTAGTAGTACTCTTATTTTATCTAATAATGCTTTCATTATTTGTAGGTACCTGTTTAGGAGCGATTTTGGTAATAATAGGGACAGCTTTATGCTGCATAGAGAAATATCAAGAGTGAACACAGTTAAAGGGATAAATGTTGTGTAAGAAATCAATAACTTTTAGATTTAAAACATTTTTAATATATGTAAATATTAATTAATATAAAATACGTGTATTATTTTCTACTAGAAGAAAATCCTATAGTCTAAAAAGCCCAACATATTTACAAAGATTTATCATTTATTAATTATTTAACACTAGATAACGGATCGAATAATTTAACAAAAATGTTACATAATCATGTAACTTTATAGTTTTTAACTAAAAATAACTTCAGCATTTCTGGCTAAATAATAAATCTTCCTTTGGCTTCACTAAAATATTAGCGAGCTTAGTAACTTACATACAATACTGATGAAGATTATAGAGCCAGAAATACTGCGGTTGTTATATTTTCTATCATAATAGACTTTTCTACATAGAAATAGAAAATATATGGGTCTCGTATTAATAACGGCTTTCAAGCAATAACCAGGATTTGGTATATGTTTTATACTATCCAATCAGTTTAAATAAATCTTTTGTCTTTTATTCTGGATTTATCGATTTATTTTTTCCTTTATAACACCTCTGTAGAAAAAAAGCAGAACATAAAAAGCAGTATAGGTTATCAAATATTACAATAAGTTTAAAAATCTGATTTTGGAACGCTCCCAACATTTGTATTAGGCATTCGAAAGTGTTAAATGAATGCATAAGAATTTGCATATAATGCATAACGATATTTTATTCGAATCGAGACATTCACATGGCACGATCATTTAGTCGAAACGAACTGTTACGAACCAAATATACAGGGGTGGGCATAAGTCAGTTGATGTCCTAAAAACGACGTATTTGCGAATTTCACCACTCTCCCGCTTTCAGCGTGCGTTACCTAGCATAGCGACACAGCCGTCTATTATAGTCATAAATTAGTACATTAGTATGCTAGTAGATCTGGAGACGAACGTATACCAGTTGGTAAATAACGTTCGCGTTAAGTTTACGCCAGGACAACGTGTTTTTATTAAAACAGTGTTACTCTCAGGATCGCGATTACGAAGCTATTACAGAATATTTGACAGAAACGTGGCCTAATGCACATTTTCTGAATCACAATTACATGGTTAATTTAGCCAAAAAAGTTTGAACGAACCGATACTGTTAAATATGCAAAGCGTAACGGCAGACCACGTTCGGTACGCACAGATGAGAATACCATGGCAGTAGCGTAACAATTCGTTGAAAACTCTCGCTTCTCCACCAAACAGACATCGTTAAAGCTTAGCATACCATATCACACGCTTCGTAGGGTTATAAAAGATATCGGTTTGTAGTGTTACCGTCACCATTGCTGCAGGAGCTGAAATCGCATGAATCATGAGACCAGCTGACCGTTATTTCGACCGAGAGAAAATCTCGTGGGAGTAACAAAGTATAATTTAAAGTTAATTGCAAGGACGAAGCATCAGTTTGCAACAGGACGGCACCCCTTCCATTTTGGTCTGTAAGTTCGGGCTTTCCTAAACCAGAATTTTCCTGGATGGATCGGTAGAGGTGAAAACGAACCGTGGCCATTAAGGCCGCCAGACATTATTCCTATGGATTTTTAAAACTGGGACATGCTTAATAATAAAGTTTTTGCGCATACGATCGAAAACGTCAAAGATCTCAAACAAAGATCTGGCGATGCTCGCTCTCATTATTAATTTAATCGAAGAATGTTATTTAAAGTATATTGTGATGAATGGTGCACATTTTGAACACTTATTTTAAATACATATTTTTGTGTTTTAAGGAAATAAAACCAAAGTTCCTAAATGTGTTTTTTTTTTCAATTGCTAGCTGACTTATGACCACCTCTATATTTAGCGCAGAGCCCTACTTAGTTTGTGGTAACGGTGAATAATGGATGTCAATAGGTTTGTGTCAATGTGCTGGTATTTAAAACGATGAAACAGAAGGTATTGGGAACATTTGGGAAAACGTACTGCTATATAAAATTTCCACGTCCACTTTATCTATCGCGTACCTTCAACACAACGTCAGAGAAATAAAAATTCCTTTTGTACAATATCCAACGTACCTAAGGTTTTTTGGATTTGACTAGTTTGGCAAAACTCGAATCGTGTGAAGGAACTTTTATTAGTATTAACATTTCACATGCCTTATTTGGTCTTCACCTGCGCTTTTGCTATTTGTCCTATTCTTAACTGAGTACCGGGGATAAGTTCAAATTCTACATTTCTACGATTTACTATAATATATTCACTATATTTATAAATCTACTGTAGTATATGTAGACTAAGTAGTGCATGAAATCTAAATCATCAAATGAATAAGAATTAACGTTTTTAGTAAAAGGTGTTTTTAGCATTATAGATGTTAATGTCAGTATAGGAATGGTAATCGATTTTTAGGCCATTAGGTTAAACAAAAACTAAAATATATTCGACCAGTTATCGTTTATCGATTATTCAAGTCTTTAAAAACTTATCGTGATTTGTAAAATATGGCACTAGTCAAAATAATAAATTCACCTAATATATCACATTACTCTTGTTATGATTTGTGGTCGGGATAAATACATTTTTAAATCCAACAAAGAATTGCTCACAGTGCCAATTTGAACCTTGAACAAGTGAAGTTTTTGTAAATAAGTCTATATACATTATACAGGTACTTTTAGAAAACAAAAGTGCGTGACGTGTTCGTTAAGGCGGTTTCAGGCACTTTCTATTAGTTCTACTTTCTAATATTCTACGGTTCAAAAAACTACGCGTTAAAGGCACTTTGTCTCCCATTGCGTGTAACGGGTGTACACCACTTGAGCGCCACGGTCAAATTAAAGTATCTCGGGAAGTTAGACTTCGAACATAAAATAGGTAAGTATAATAGTAAATGGTAGCGAAATCTATTTTTGAATTAGCAATAAAAAATCAACGATGAGAACCAATCGTCTTTGATAAGTTAAAACTTAAATTTGTTATTTTCGTATGAAATATCATGTAATAAGATAAACGAACCCCAAGTAGGTATATCTATTTGGTTTTAGAGAAAAGAACCCTGAATCAAACACATAATAACACAGGCCGAAATGATTTTTGGTGTTTTGAGTTTGACATTGTGTCCTTAGCTAATACGGGTACCTGCGTTGATCCTGAATATGTATTTGGTTCAAGCCCATCACTTCAAACATTTTCACAAAATTAATAAAACCGTATGAGATATTATGGACCTGCTCAAAAAATTCCTTATTAATATTACGTAAATTGCATTAAAATTATTTCTTTAAAATATTTATATTTCGAAAGAAAATATTTTAATACATTATTTAAATTTCATTTGAATGAAATGTTAATTTCAACTTGACTTCATCGGCAGTTGCGTATTACGCAAATAGAGTTAGCGTCAGTTGTTTGTAGCATCGAGTTGTATTCTGTTTTATGAGTGTTTATCGCGCCATAATGTCATCAAGAAAGTGTAAGAACAGTCATGATATAGTTTGTTACGTGTGTAGTGATTTAACAATAGGAAACCATCAACGAAACATAACAAACTTTATAAAGAAAGCTTATCACGCTTACTTCAGTGTAAAGCTTGTTGATTAAGATAAACTTGGAGCTCCACACAAAGTGTGCTCTCAGTGTGTCTAACTACCGAGAAAATAGACAAAAGGTACACGTAACTCTTTACCCTTCGGCATTTCTTTGGTATGGAGGGAACCAAAAAACCATGGAGACGACTGCTTCTTTTGCTCCTGCGATATTAAGGGTTTCAATTTAAAAATATCGTTCTGCTAAACCACCTGTATCTCATGGACCAGGAATCCCTAGTCCTCCACCTTTTCTTCACACCATCTAACAGAAATCATCAGATGAAAAAACCGATGAAGATGAATTCAATCCTGAGATAGACCAATCTTAAAAGTTTATTCAAGCTGAACTAAATGGCTTAGTGAGAGACTTGGGCCTATCGAATGATGTTGCACAAATCTTAGGATGACGACTGAAAGATAAAAATCTATTGGTTTCAGGTACCATATTTTCGTGGTATAGGCATCGTGAAAAAGAGTTCGCGGAATATTTTTCTCAAGGGGGCTCACTGGTGTATTGTCATAATATTCCTGAAGTAGTCATGAAATTGGGAACTGACAATTACGATTCCACATCATGGCGGTTATTTATTGATTCTTCTAAGAGAGGTCTGAAGGGTGTCTTGTTGCACAATGGTAATCCTTATGCCTCAATGCCTGTTGCTCACTACGTGCATCTTAAAGAATCATACGAAAATCTAGAGCTGTTGCCTTAATAAAATAAAGTATAGCGAATATCGTTGGCAACTCTGTGGAGATCTCAAAATAATATCCATGCTTTTGGGTCAGCAGTCTGGATTCACAAAGTATCCATGTTTTTTGTGCAAGTAGGACAGTCGAGCACGAAATTTACATTACGTTAAGAAAGAGTGGCCACTCAGAGAAAGACTTGTAGCGCGACAAAAAAAATGTGCAACGTGATACACTAGTTGACCCAAAATTAGTTCTTTTGCCTCCTCTTCACATAAAGTTAGGATTGATGAAGCAGTTTGCTAAAGTTTTAGATAAACAAGGTGACTACTTTAAATATCTGCGACAAATTTCCTGCACTTTCTGAAGCTAAACTTAAAGAAGGAATTTGTAGGCCCTCAAATTCGAAAGGGGACAGATTGTTCCAGAATACAATGACCCAGGATAAATCTGAAGCATGGTGTTATTTCTTAGAAGTCATAGACGGTTTCCTTGGAAACAACAAGTCTCTAAACTATAAAAAAAATTGAAGCCAATAGGTCAAAAATTATAAAAAAACTGGAATGCAATATGAGCGTCAAACTTCATTTTCTGGATTCCCACGTTGACTCCATCCATCCATCCAATGGCACTACAGCCCAAGCCGGGCCTTGGCCTCCTTCATTAAACCTCTCCAAACATCTCTATTTACTGCTGTTCTTTTCCATGAACGCGTTTTTAGGAGATTTTTGGCATCCTCATCTACCTCGTCTTCCCATCTCTTTTTTGGTCTTCCAACAGGTCTTTTTCCTTGCATTCTTGCGTTTAGTAATTTTCTGGGGATTCTGTTCTCATGCATGCGAGCCACATGCCCTGCCCATCGTAATCTCTGCAGTCTAGTGTATTGTGCTAGTGTTGGTTCAGTGTATTGTTCGTATATTTCGTTATTATATCTAATTCGCCAGTTGTTATTTTCCTTTATTGGACCCAGTATTCTACGCAATATTTTTCTTTCAAACACGTCTAATGCATTGGTAGATTTCTGTGTTATAACCCATGTTTCACACCCATAACTTACTATGGGTCGGATTATTGTTTTATATACCCGGAGTTTTGTTTTCCGGTGTACGTCTCGCGATTTGAATATGTGGCCCATCGCGAAATAGGCTTTGTTTGCCAGCATAAGCCTTCTATTTATTTCCGGTTCTTCTTCATTATTTTCGACCAGATCCATTCCTAAATACGTGAATCTATTCACGTATTCTATATCGTCTATAAATTGTTGTTGTTGCGCCTGTCTATTTGATCTGGTTTGTATGAGTAGTTTTGTTTTATTTGTATTTATTGTTAGCCCTACAACTTCTGAACTCTGTTTCAACTGAACGTAGGTTTCTTCTGCCGCAGTCTTTGTTCTGCTCATTATGTTTATGTCATCTGCGTATGCTGCTAATTGGGTAGATTTGTTTGTAAGTATGTTATTTCTGCTCACCGTCAACCGTCTAATTACATATTCAAGAACAAGATTAAAAAGTGTTGGAGCCAGTCCGTCACCTTGTTTCAGTCCTTGCGTTGTCATAAACGCATCAGTGATCTGTCCTTGAATACATACATGTGCTTCTGTCATTGTCATTTGCACTAGTCTTATTAATTTTGATGGTATGCCAAATTCTTGTAATATATTAGGTAGTATTGTTCTATCTATCTATCCCACGTTGACTATTTTCCCGAAAATCTTGGAGTTGTCAGCGAGGAGCATGGAGAGAGGTTTCATCAAGATATAAAGGAGATGGAGAGATGTTACCAAGGAAGATGAGATAAGAGAATGATGGCTGATGGACCTTGAAGGGAGACTTGATCACAAAAATCCATAAAAAGAAGACAACAAAACGCAGTTTTCATGGAAAAAGAGGGCGGCTTTATTCAAAAAAACCAAATATTGTCTAACGTAGGTTATACTAAATTCTTTTTTTTTTAAGAACAACTCCATTTTGCAGTATAATTTTGTATTAAATACAGTTTCAATAAATATTTTCTCAGCATTTTTGGCAGTTTTTATGAAAAATTTCAAACACACTTTTCTTCAAAACCTGGCGTGTTTAAAAAAAACTAAGTACAGATTCGTGATCAGCACATCCTATTTACTATAGGACACCTATTAAACTTAAAACACTTTTTCATAAAAAAAATATAGGTCATTATAATCAATGTAATAAAAAAACATCACGACGCAAGTATGATTTATGTCCGCATAATTCTTAGAATCGCTTAAAGAAACTACATATGAAGCTTTAAAAAAAGAAGAGCAATATTCACAGATTTTTAATATAGGAATCATCATCGGATCTTATTCCGAAGTAAAAGGAACCGTAGTTTGAGTGCTACTAGGAAAAAAGACAGCAATACTTGCTAACGATTAACGCTGCTTTATTAGTTTGGTTGGGATAGAATCTAAAGAATACCACAAGAAAATAACATTCAATGCAATAAAATTAAAATATTCACTATAAAACTAGAGAACTAAACCTGGATAACGTCAATTAAAATACCTATTTATCGTACCAATCAGATTTCCCAAGGATGTTTCGTGACCGATCAAAATCCATGGAGTTTCAGAGTATATTCTTATGTATTGTTCCCGCTGTATTTGAATTTCAAACTTAGTTTGCGTCGCAAGTATCTGGAATTTGTTATAAACATTTAATTGTTTAAATGATTATAATTTGTTAAATAACATATTTCATTTGTAAAAATAAAATTTGCTCCTTAAAAAAAACTACAAAATCATATTTGATAAACTTTGATCCTTAGCCAAGAAAAAAAAGAGAACAGGTAACGCTCATTTTATAAACCTTCGTAAAGTGAGTCAAGTTTCGACGTGACCACTATTTTTTGGCGTCTGTACGTTGTCCATTACTATCTCTTGCAGGGTTACCAGGTCTACTGATTTTTCAGTAGAGATACTGAATTCAAATTCAATTTACCTGTGTAGGGAAACACTATATTGATCTACTAAAAAATATGTAATGATAAAATTATGTTCAAAAAGTGATAGTTATATCAGTGTTGTGATAGTTATCAAGAAATAAAATATGACTTGGCAACCTTTCTGGTGTCGATTTAGGCTTTAGTCAATTCCATACAATTTTACGGGTCCCCTCTCTTTCCTTGTCTAAGCCTTGATCCAATAATTAGAATCGGAGGTATTGCGCAATTTGTGCAACAAAATTGCAAAATTGCGGCATTTAGACGATTTTTAATAATTTTATACTAGCTCAAATTAAAGGAAAAGCTATTAATAATTGAAATATTTTTAACTAAATTATAAACGGATATTTTTTTATTAAAAAAGACCTATAATTTGTTTATAAGGTGTTTTAGCTGCTAAAATTTTAGATTATAGCAAAGCCTGTTACATAGTAAAATTATTGTATGCCGAAGTGGATGCGTTTACGGTTCAAGTCAAGGAGGTTAAAGGTGGAAATGCGGCCAAGTGGCTACTTTTCTACTTATCATAATATGAGTTAAATTTAAGTTTTTTTAATTATTCGCCCAAAAGATAAACCTAATGTTAAATTAATGTCAAATTTTATTTTTCCTCTTTAGTTTTATCACAAGAATCTTTTAAAAAAGATTTAAAAAGAACCAAAAAGAAGATAGATAGATGTTAATATATATGAGGAAGTTTGTCGAAATAAAAAAATTCACTAATGTCGAATTAGAAGTGGTGTATTGTGAAATTTCCTTAGAACTTCCTTTAGTAGCTCAGTTAAAATTTGATCTTTTGAACACACCAGTTTTAATCAGTATAGACCAAGTGGAAATAATAGGTGTACCCGATTCAAAATTAATAATGTTTAATAAAGGTGGTTCAGAAGACAATCAAGCTAAACAAGTTCCGGTAATATCAACTATCTACGTTGAGCCATCAAAAATAAGGTGTTGTCCAAAACGGAATCTCCGGTGGAAAGTATTGAGCATAAAGAAAATAAATCGGAATTAAATCAAATGTCAAAGAAAGACATATCTTGCATATAATGAATAGTTTGTGGAACCACCAGATGGAGACTAGATCCAATGCTTTCAATGTTAAGCCTAGTGGCATGAAGCGTGCACATATTATTCAGTTAATAATAATAATTAAAGATTTTAACCTTTATATTTTTACTTTATTTTGATTATAAATAAACTTATTTGTAACGGATAAGTCATTTTCATTTATTTCAACGTTCCTTGCTCTATTTGTGTTTTACTCTTAAGACGATGTACATATTCCCAAGAGTAGTAATGTGCACATTAGTTATACATATTACATTACATATTTTAACCATTACTAATTTGATAATTAAAACCTAACCATTTATTTTATAATGAGAAAAATATGTTACTTGTGTACTCTTATGCCACTACACCCTAAGTATACACTCTGAAACTTCGTGGACTTTGATCGGCCACGAAACAACCCTGGCCTCTGGACTATATCTCTGTTTATCCCAAATAATTTCTGCCGTGGCGCTGAAGTGCTAGTTGACCCGAGAAGCTTGTTTTTTTTTCGCAATTTACTAAAAATTTCTAAGAAGTAGCATTAAATGACTAGTAATAAGTTAATATTAATAATAATCATTTTTCAAATCTATTTACGGCTTCTGCAGCTCCGAAAGTTTATCGTTTTTGTTAAATTTCTGATGCATCAACATTTGATTTTGTGACGTTAATTCGTCGATTCTCGTTCGAAGTTCTTCGATTTCTGAAGCTAATTTGTTGATTTGTTGACCTTGTTTTACAGGATCGAAAGTTTGTGCTTGGTCTGACTGTAATATTTCACTTTTATTTGCAGATATATTCAATGTATCGTTTAATACCCTGAATGGATTGTGAATTTGATCATTATTTGCTGAAGTTTGTACATTAAGCACAACATCCTTCTTTAGAGGTTCGTTAGGTATTAAAGGTTCATTCTGAATATTATAATGTAACTTAGCATTTAATGTAACGTCAGATTGCACAGTGGGTATGCTATTTTTCTGATTAGCTTGTTCATTTTGATATTCCGGTCTGTTGTGTTCGATACCAGGGTAGTGCAAACCTATTGATGATTCCGGAATGTATCCTAGGAAAGCGTTCGGTTTAGAAGTTGTAGGTTGTTCACTTAACGGTGGACAATGAGATATTCCGATAATTTTTGTATGATTCGTTTCCATAATGGATACGATGTCTGGTAGGGCAGCATCGCAAAGAATTGGATTATCTGAAATTAAAGAAATATTTTTAGAATTTAAATTTGAAATAAGGTAATAAATATGTTTGCCCGCTTTTAACATTATCATACAAGACACTAGAGAGGAGAAGATAATTATAATTTGCTTAACACGTTAAGTGCAGTATGAGTAGGGTGGCCATATGTACTTTTTTTAGTAGGACAGTACTTTCTTTTCAAACGCTGTCCTATTGTACTTTAAAATTTATGAAGTACGCCTAAATGTACTCTTTTTCTTAATTACACAAAATTAAGTCCTACTTTTTGTCAAAAAAAAAAAATATATATATAATTATGATTCGAGTTGATTCAAGAATCGATCTTTTGCGGAAGAATCAGAATCTCCTATCTTTTCATTTATCAGAATCTATCTCCCTCCTATCACTGTCGATTTCATTTCTCAGCAAGATCTTATTATCTTATTTATTTAGTAAAAATTTATTTCGTCGTATGTTTATGTTTATTTGTTACTTGTGCGCTCACTGTTGATTAGTCTATTAACCTTTTGTCTTAAATTCCGGCAGTTTTTCTTGTTTTTTATATTATTTTGTGCTGTGTGGAAAAATAAACAATTTCATCAAAAATGTTTTAGCTCAAGAGGCTCAATCCCAATTAGAAATTGACATTCGAAAAGCAAATTTCGTCAGCATCACAATCGATTCATCGAATCATAGAGAAATTAAAGTTGTGCCCTTAATGGTAAGATATTTTGATGGAGAAAATGGTGTCCAAGTAAAATTACTTCAGCTACGTGACTTACCTGGTGAAACATCAGAGCAGTTAAAAGATTACGTGGTCAATGTTTTGAATAACCATAATCTACTACAAAAATGCATCGGAATGTCTGCTGATAATATAAATATAAATTTTGGTAGAATGAGAAGAAAAGGAGTTGAACAATTTATTCAGCAAATTAAATGCTTCTCGTGGTAAACCCGTGATTGGAATTGGTTGTGTGGCACACATTTTTAATAACTGTTTACAAAATACCGAGGACGTCTATAGGACGTTTTACCTATAGACATCGAGGATATTGCGGTCAAGATTGAGTGGAGAAACTAAATTAGTTTTGCGATTTTGTTGATATCGAGTACAAAAAAATGTCGTTTTCAAAATCAAGATTTTAGCCTAATGCCAGCCATTGAACGAATTATACAAATGTTCGAACCTTTGAAAGCATATTTTTTTATCAATTGATAATTGTCCAACAGTTATAAAACAGTTTTTTCAAAACCCAATCAGTGATGCATGGATGTGGTTTGTGCATAACATTGCGTCTTTCTTCCACAAAGTGATTTTAGATGTAGAAGGTGACAAAATATGCGCAACGGAAGCCGCTTTGGAGTATTTCGAACTCATAAATAAGCTTCAAAATCGCTTAAATGAGTTATTTTTACCACTTGAAGTAAGAGAGTCACTTTCAAAACTTGAAAATATGGAAGACCTTGACCTTAGCGTGAACTATCGGGATATCTTTATTATGCATGTCAAAAACAGTTCTATTCAAATTGTGTAACATATTTGAAAAACTGGAGTGAAAATTTAAGTGAACTAAAGCTATTCGGATGGGTTATCTTGAAAAAACAAGTTTGTTGGGCTGAAATTTTATCGTCGTGTGAGGCTTTCAAAGACTACATAGGTCCGATATCAGGACGAACTGTATGATTAAGTTAGTCTAATACAAAATTACGTTACAGAAGATAAAATCGCAGACTGGAATTGGAAAAATATTTCTACCGAAGATCGATGGCTCGAAATCTTCCAAAAAGAAGGTGCTTTGAAAAATCTCAAAATTCTATGTGAGTTTGTTTTTTGTCTGCCTGGGACCAGTGCGTCGATTGCGCGGTTGTTCTCAAATATCAATAACTATTGGAGTCCCTACAAATCGCAGTTGAAAATATCTACTCTGAAAACCATCATGCAAGTCTACACAAACTTCAAAGTTTCGTGCAATGAAATGTTTCAGTTCTTAAAGAGTAAATCACATTTTCTGAAGGAAATTCATAATTCCAAAAAGTACGACTGGTACCAAAATTTATCATACTTTTTTATGTATTTATATTTTATTAAAAAAATCGTTCTTATCATCGTTATATTAAAGATTCGTAAAATTTTGGCCAGAAAAATTTCCTAACTGCCCAGTTAGCCCTAGACTCCAGCACAGATCAGAGGTAATGTAAGTCAATAAAACCTCACCAACTACAGGGGGTCATGTAAGATGCCCCCATTTTCAGTTTTTAGTAATCTACAAATCAACAGTCTATTGCATTTACCTTCATAAACACCTTCAGGATAGTTTTTTAATACGGAGTTCTCTACTATGTTTTCACACGGCCATTCAATGTTTTTTAACAACTTTTTATTAAACTGATGATGGAATGAGTTTATTCCGAAAAGATCTTCTTTAAAATAAAAGTTTTAAGCTTTTAATAAGCATTTTTTTATACCTTAATACACACGACCACCACGTGCTTTGAGTTTATAATTACCTTGAAGGTATATCTTCAAAGTATCCCATGTTCCTTCATGGACACCGTGCTCCAAGGTACATCGAGTCCTAGCCACTAAGTCTCTACCAAGAGCAACAATCTGATTGTTGGATAAATCGGCATGACATAACACCGGCAGTCCATGAAAATCTTTGTCCAGTATTGTTAGATAATTATGACTTGCTTTTAGCTCTGACAATCTTGGTAAGTAGGTCTAAAAACAAATTAGTATCGAAAATAAAATTATAATTGATTTAATTACTTCTTTTTTATTTTTGTTTGTACTCAACAAACTTTAAGAATAGAACTTACCTTGCTAGTCTCCTCTAATGTTGTTAAATGATTATATGAAATGTCTAACAACCTTAATTCTTCTAATCCAATAAAATCTTCTGGTAAAATTTTCTTCAGTTTATTGAAACTTAAATTTAGCCTGAGAAGTTCTGTTAAACCTGATAGGGCTCCGTTTAAAGTTTCAATGTAGTTATGGTCTAATTTTAATTCTGTCAATTTTATGTTCCAATCTACCAAATTCTGCAACGAAAAATAGGTTTGAAATTTCTTTAAGTAAGAGTAAGTAGGTTAGAAAACTAAAATTTCAGTGGGAAAACTAAATTTTCATAAATAATAATTGTGTTTTTGCAGTACTTATTGAATTATAAAAATAGGTTTGAAATTTCTTTAAGTAAGAGTAAGTAGGTTAGAAAACTAAAATTTCAGTGGGAAAACTAAATTTTCATAAATAATAATTGTGTTTTTTCAGTACTTATTGATTCATGAACACAATTAAACGTTTTTTGTTTTCGTGTTTCTGGTGGGATGTTTCTGGTGGTGATTTAAAAAGTATTGAAATATTTACTGCTAGCTGAGATTTTTTTACTTAAAGGATTCATCTAAAAACCGCATAAAATAACGTCCAAATTCATGTAACGTGATTTTTTGTACCTATATTTGTTGCTGGGAATCGATATGTACCGAACTGGGGTTTATTTTTGAATAGAAATACAGTAAATGAATCATATAAAAGAAATATTTACACAAAATACTTTTAGGTAAGTTATTTCTAAAGATGTTAAGTACTTCCAATTTTAATTTTTATTAAAAAAAGTAGATGCTTTATAAATTAGAATAAAAATATCAATAAACTTACAGCAGGTGGTCCAGATAGAGTTGTTATTAGATTGTAAGACAAATCTATGCTTCTTAGTTCTTTTAAATCGACGATTTCTTGTAGCGAAAACTCCCTCAGTTTATTAAAAGTTAGATTAAGGAAGTTCAACCGGGTTAACTTTACTAATGAGTTGTTTAAAGTCGCAAGCTCATTATGCCCTAACAACAAAGACTCCAACATCGATGTCTCGGCGAAATCTTCTTTTGAGATCTGTAAATAAGAGAAACATATATAGTACTGCAGAATAATAATTATCAAATTAGAGAGCAAAGGATGCGTATAAAATATGTTTAAATAGTATGGAGTAGAAGAAGGGAATATAGTCTTGATTGTAGGATGTTCTTGTCATTAGGTTTTGCTTAAGTTTATCATATTTGCTATAGTAATATTTTAGGCTATATGTTTTTAGACGGCCACGCTTATGGCATTTCAAAATGAAGTTATCAGACAAAAAATTATATTTTGCTAACATGAACTGAATTTTGTTAAAAATGTCAAGTGGGACCCCAAAAAACAATCAAATAAGTTTGCCAATCCTACCCGAGCTTCCCCTTAACTTAAACCCCTCTTCGTGGTGGAACTGGACATTGACTTATCAAGAATCTGCATGCCATGCCGTAGAAAAAAACAAGTTTTTATTAGCACTTTTTGTGTTGTAAAAGCGTTTTTAGGCATATTTCAAATCCCTCATATTTATTGCCAAATCTCATAATCGATATTTTACGCTATATCTAATCTGTATATCTATATAATATATATTTATTTCATTATCTATTCATATTAATATTAATAATTTTTTAATTCATATTAATAATTTTTTTTATCTCTTTCAAAGTTTGATTAATATAATCTGTCCATTTCATTTGAGCTTGATCTCTTGATCTTTTTGGAGTATGTTCGTATAGAGTTGCACTCATACAGTCCTCGAAGACATACCGTCTCAGGACTAGCAACTTCAACGTGGAGTCATATGTCACCATGTTACCTAATCCATCGGTAACTCTATAATCTTAAATAATTATAACGTATTTTTAAAACTAAATGTAATTAAACATCTGTTAACGGGTTTTTACCCATATATTTAATCTTGGTGGCTACATTCATGTACTCCTAGACACTGATGATGGAACATGGTTTCCGAAAACGTCATGTCTTTTTAACTTAGCCCGTTTGGGCCTTTACCAAACCTATACCTATTACAAAGGATTTTTAATTAAATATTTATTATGTATTAGGCAAATTACGGCATTACCCCAACTCTCTGACATTTTCTCCCTATTCATCGCCTTCTTCCACCAAGCACTTATTCCCATATTTTTCATCAACGAACCTTATTCTGAGTCTCTCTCTTGGATCTATCCAGGAGCGTTGTTCCAGCTGAGTCCAATGGCGGTGTCATCGGCATATCTGAAATTGATTACTCTTTTGCCATTTAATAATATTTCTGCTTCCGAGTACTCTAGGATTTTTTGTGAAATCGTCTCTGAGTACATGTAAAATATGAGAGGTGACAATATGCGTCCTTGTCGAATACCTCGCAGAATTTTCACTTCCACTGTTTTCTTGTTGTTAAACATTTACAGAAACTGATTGATCAGTATTAATTTCTGATTACGCGCAGGTCCTTGCCATCAATTCCACTATATTGCAGGACTCAAATCATTTTGTTGTATTAAACTTTGTCAAATTCCTTTTTTTAACTAATGCATTACAGTTCACATGTCTACATCTTTGAAATGGCTCTTGTATTCTGAATAAGGCATCTCTTTTTCCCGGATCTTTCATAAAACCAAATTGTATTGGTGATAGTTCTTCTTCGCAGATTTTGTATGATCTATGATGTATGATTTTTAAAAAAGTTTTCAAAATAAGAAGAGGATTGTATTTATAACAACAAATCGAAAAAAAATATGTTACAATACGGATATTACATTTTTTTCGTATTAAAAATTTTTGTTTGCAAATTTTGATAAAAATATTTACACTTCTGTGAATACATCTATAACATACAAGGTCGCTAAATTATTAACAAATAATTTCCCGTGCCCTTTACACATGTTAAAATATGATTAGGATAACCAGTGTGACAAAGTTCAAATAATTGGTTAGTAAACATCAAATTCCATGAAAATATGTGGAAATAAAATTTCTTATTATATTTATAATGTCTCGTTATTGTTATAGGTAAACATCAATGACAAATGATTATACATTTTCGGATGTAAAATATATTACATACTCCTTTCTCTTTTCTTGTCTCATTCTTTTGAGTGAGTATTTACATAAATGAAGTGTCTGTTATATTTTATAAAGCTGGAATATACGGCAGACTGTTAAAATTTTTTTATTGTATTTAATATATATGTATAGAATAATAATTCTTTGATTTTGTAAAGGAATCATCGCTACCTGATCTGTTTTAAAGACAAATTTTGCCACCATTTTTATGGAGACACTTCTAGATTGGCTGAATTTTACCGAATGAATTATCGTCATCCTTGAAAACTCAAACAGACGATTGACGTTTAGTTCCTAGTTCATATGAATCAATTCACGTTTTATCGGCACTCATTTCTAAGGATATTGTACAAATTTTTGAATGTACAAATATCTGCGTTGAATTCACCACTGTTGTTTTCTGCTCTTTGTTCAACAAATTTTTCTACATAGCCTTCTTCTTAAAATTGTCTTCAATTCAGGTATTTAAAATAACTAATGAAACCTCCTTTTCACAATATGTCACCTGTCAATCTTCGTAGCTAACCTTTGCTCATCACATCGATGTTTTCCTGGGTGACCAGCGGTTTTGGTCTAATGTTGTTGGATCATCGCTAAAATTAAAACGTTTGAATTATCCTTACTACTGAGAAATTGTTGACTGATATGAAGCTTCATTGTCGAAAATTAAAAACATCGACTTGGCAAGAATTTATAAGTAAGAGTTAGAAGAGGAGTAGAATACAGAGCTGACCATAAACTACTGACAGCAAAAATGGGCATTAATTGGAAACATAACAGGACCTCTCAACAGAAGAACTGTTGAATAGGTACAATATAAGAAAAACAATGCAATATAGAACTACTCCAAGAACAATCAATAAGAGAACTATACCAACAAAGTCTAGAACAAAAATTAATAGAATTCAGATACGGCAACATCGAAGAATATTCTTCTTCTTCTTGTACCGTCTTCTAACGAAGATTGGCGACCACTTCTTTAAACGCTTCTCGATCTTTTGCAACGTGAAATATCTGTTCAACACTGAGGTTAGTCCAATCTCTGATATTCCTCAGCCAAGATTTCTTCTTTCTTCCCAAGCCTTTTCTTCCCTCTACTCTACCTTGCATGATGAAGAATATACGAGCATATAAAGGCGAGCATAAAACAAGCAGCATTCGAAGCCCTTGCAGAGATAGAACATATAACAAATAAATAGGACTACTATGAAATAAATAAACCAACAAAAAGAAGAATTGAAGAAATAAAGCAACTATCCAGAAAATGGCTGACTACAAACAACGATGAAATTTATAAAGAATATAGAGAAAAAGATAGAGAAGTGAAAAAACAAATAACACAACAAAAGAATGAAGAACGGGAAATAACCTGCTAAAATATTGAAACATAGATAGAAGGTACAAGAACTTCTGAGTCATGGAAAGTACTGAGAGTATTGAAATAAAACTCCAAAGAAAAAATTAAATTGGGAAGTATACAGGACAAAGAATGGAAGGATTATTATAAGAAACTGTTACCAGAACAAAAACCACAATTCATTGGAAAAAAAGGAGAGTACTAAGCAGATTTCCACAGCAAGAAATTGAAATTATAGATAGGGAAATGAGAACGGCCATAAAAGCAATCAAAAATAAGAAAGCATCGAAACCTGGAGGCATCTCACCTGAGCTTATAAAATTAAGCAAAAAAATTACACCGGATGATACAATGGATATTCCAGAAAGCCATTAATGGAGAACAGCTCCCAAAGGAATGGACAGAGACATATATAACACTTATATTTAAAAAGGAGATAGAAAATGATGCGAAAACTACAGAGGAATAAGCGTAATATCATCAATAGGAAAATTTTATGGGAAGACACTGCGAGAAAAGATAGAGAAAGCGATATAACGCAAGATCGGGGAGGATCAGGCAAGCTTCACGGCAGAAAGATCATGCATAGACCACATATACACACTGGAATATTTATTGGAAAAGAAAAAAGTAAAAAATAGAGATATACATTTGACATTTGTGGACCTGAGAAAGGCGTATGACTCTGTACCAAGGTCAGAACTATGGGAGACAATGTACAAATTAGAAATACAGACGGAACTCATAAAAGCTACAAAAGCTCTGTATAAAGAAAATAAAGTATCCATTAAAATAGAAACAAGAATCATAGGAGACTTCAACACAACATAAGAGCTCTTGTAGGGTTGTTCCACATCTCCAACCCTATTCAAAATATACTTAGAGAAAGCCTTGACTACATGGAAAAAAATGTGAAGGCATGGGAGTACTGGAACGAAACGAATACCTATATCCGTTAAACTTTGCAGACGATCAAGTAGTGATTGCACAAGACCAAGAAGACCTCAGTTACATGATGAAGAAACTACAAGAAAAATATACCAAGACTGGCCTAGATATTAACCTCGCGAAAACAGAGTACCTATCTACAAGTGAAGAAGACCTAGAAGATCTAGAGATTGGCGACAATGTAACAATCAAAGGAAAGGATAAATTCAAATGCTTAGGGTTTATAATCACGAAAAAGGCAACAACTGAGGAAGAAATTAAGCAAAGATTAGGACAAACAAGAACAGTAATCCGACAACTTAACTCAGTATGGTGGGATAGACACCTAAATATGAAGACAAAAACACAGCTTTATAAAACATTAGTGCGAAGTATTATGACATATGGGGCTGAAAATTGGATTATAAACAAGAAAAACAGCACTAAGATAGTAGCAACAGAGATGCAATGCCTGTGAAGATGCTGCAGAGTAACAAGAATGGATAGAAAAAGTAATGAAGAAATAAAGCAAAGAACATCAATAGAAACATACATACTAACATATAGAACAAAAAAGACTAAAGTGGTATGGACATGTAAGAAGAGCAAAAAGACAAAAGAGAGAATCTAATCGTTATGAAAAGGAGACTAAAATTCATAAAAGTGGCCTCTTAATACGGCGCGGCGGACATATCCGGAAATGTAATGGTGCCAAATTTAAATTTTCCGACAATTATTAACAGTAGCTATAAACCATTTTTCAGAGTGTGTCTTAGACGAGGAAGTTTTAATTAAATATTAACGATAATAGTCTAAAATATGACACAATTGTTAAAAAGCTTCAATATAAATAAGAATACATGTGACAGTTGGGACAAACAATAACATAACCCAACTAAATTTGATTTTGTAAACAAGGAAAGACGTCTTTGCTGTATTTATTGACTATCAAAAGGCCTTTGATCGAGTACAGCATCACAAATTAATTACAATATTAAAAGATAAAGGAGTTTATAGTCAAGACATACGATTCATAGAAAAGTTATACCGGCGTCAAACAGCGACAGCTTGCATAAACGGAAAATCATCAGAAATATGTAAAATACAAAGATGTGTCAGACAGGGTTGTATACTATCCCCACTGTTATTTAATTTATATTCAGATAGAATATTTAAAGAAGCGCTGCATAATTTGGAATGGGGCGTGAAAGTTAATGGAATTCTGATAAATACAATCAGATATGCAGACGATACAGTTATTTTAAGTGATGACATGAATGGATTACAATGCCTTTTAAATGCCATTGATACAGTGGGAAGAGAGTTTGGCCTAAACATAAACCGTTCAAAAACAAAACACATGGTGTTTAGCCGTTTAGCATATCAAGATGCACGATTATATGTTGATGGTCATATAATTCAAAGAGTGTCCAGTTTTAAATATCTTGGTTGCCATATTACTGAACAACTAGATCCAGATCAAGAGATAAAATGTATAATCGAGATAGCCCGCACGACATTTTTAAAAATGAGGTCATTCTTCTGTAATGATAACTTGAAACTTCAACTTCGAAAGCGTATGGTTAAATGCTACATTTGGTCAGTCCTCTTATACGGTGTCGAAGCATGGACATTAAAAATATCCACCATTAATCGTCTGGAGGCCTTTGAAATGTGGCTGCACAGACGTATACTAAAAATTCCATGGACGGCTATGCTGACAAATGTGGCAGTCCTTGAGAGAGCAAATGCTGCTCGCGAGCTGCTTAATAACATCAAATGTAGAAAGATGGCCTATTTTGGACACGTAGTAAGGGGAGACCGATATAATATTCTTCAACTTATTATGATGGGTAAAATCGAAGGACGCAGAGGAATTGGTAGAAAGCAGGCCTCTTGGTTGAAGAATATCAGAGAGTGGACAGGAATAAAGAAAGCTGAGCAACTCTTGAGAATAGCTCGAGACAGACAGTTTCGCCATGTTAATCGCCAACGTCAAGGGGACTTGATAGGGCACGTTAAGAAGAAGAAACAAGGAAAGAGACTCTATTTCCTTGTTTAATGTAGCCTCTCAAAATGGCACGTTGATCCTCGACCACCTCGAATGGTCGATCTTCAGACACATTTCTAGAAAAAGAAGTAATAGGTTATACTAGTTTTTGATTATAAATTTTTGATTCTCCCTTGTTTTATTTAGACATAAAACTTTATACCATAAAGTTTTTTATGTATAATTTATTCTATCAGCCTATACCGTTCTTTTAATACAACTTGCACTTTTTATCAAGTTATGTTGATAGTCTTGTCTTAACTGTCATAAAAATATATAACTTCTAAAGAACTATAAAAAAATGTATATTACTTACTAGATTAATCTGATTGTGTTCCAGAATAACACGTTGCAGATGTGTACTTTTGGATAGAGCTCCATCTAAAGATACCAGTCTGTTATTATGGAAAAATATGGACTCCAGATGTGGGTAATTCTTCAACTGTTGTGGTAATCTACGTAACTCATTGTGAGAAGCATGGATTAATATGAGGTTTGGAGCATATTTTGGCAGCTGATTATCTATATCCACAAGTTCGTTAGAATTAATAAACAACCATTTTAACTCAGACAAATTTCTTAGGCTATTATTCAAATCTCGTATGTGGTTTCGACCCAGATGTAACTGCTGAATTTGATTTGGAATAGATCTGGGATTCATTTGTGAGATTTGGTTTCCAGGAAGAACAAGGCATACTATTTGTTTCAATCCCTAAAAGTATTTATGATAAGAACTTGAATATTATATTTAGATACATATTAAAAAAAATTAAGGTCATTATATTTTAACAATCTCGGTGACGAGAAGATAACCGATTTTTGACCGATCATTTGCTGATACCTAGGTATAGTAACAATCAAATATTTATTGCTATCATTAAAACAGTTATTATATTCATCGTTCAAATCAACATAGATTTATTTTAGAACCAAGTATAAGAATATATTTAGCAAATGCAACATCAAAGATTAGAATATGCGAAGAAAATGATTACGAACTATGAAAATGAAACAAAACAAGACAGGAATACAAAGGTAAAGCCGAAGAAAGACAAGATACATTTAGCTACATGGAATGTCAGAGGAACCTTTTATGAAGGTGCCCTAAAAGAACTAATGAATGAGGCAAGGAAGTATAAAATAGATTTAATGGCTCTTCAAGAGACAAAACAATTGGGATCGGAAATAATTGATGTAGAAAATATGGTGCTCTTCAAAAGTGGAGGTAAAGATAGAATGCTTGGAACTGGTTTTTTAGTAGCTGAATGCATCAAGGACAAAGTGATAGCTTTTAATCCTATCTCTGATAGGATGTGTTCAATACGAATTAAAAGTAAGAAAAGGAATTGGAGTATAATCAATATTCATGCACCGTCAGAAGACAAGGACGACGAAATAAAAGGATCGGATTGGAACTAAATGAAGACAAATCCAAATATATGATCATGGGAGGAACAGAAGGGAAAAAAGAAGACTTTAGTGTGAGGTCTGAAAGTGGTAAGAGCTATAGTTTTAAAAGGGTGGACAAATTTGAATACTTGGGTGTAGTTTTCAATGAAAATGGAAAAGAGAAATCGGAGCTGGAAGCCAGAATAGCAAAAGGGAATAACAAATTAGGTAGTTTAAGAGCCCTACTGAACTCAAAATACGTTTCTAGACAAGGTAAACTCAGAATATATAAAACAGTAATTCGACCCACAGTAACATATGCCGGGGAGACATGGATATTAAATAAGAAGGAAGAGGATACTCTGGAAAGATGGGAAAGGAAAATACTGAGACGCACATTCTGAGGACGGAAGACAGAAGATGGTTGGGAGAGAAGAACCAACAATGAATTAATGGCTTTATACAAAGAAACTAGCATTACCAAGTTCGTCAAGTCACAAAGAATCAGATGGTTGGGACATATGGAAAGAATGGAAGCAAACAGAATCCCAAACTAGTAATAACCAGAAAACTAATCGGCCCCAAAAGAAGAGGTAGACCCAGAACGAGGTGGATTAGTAAAGTGGAAGAAGACCTTAAACACGTGAAGGTGAGGAACTTGAAAAGAAAAGCACAAAATAGAAGCGAATGGAGAAACATTGTCCACCAGGTCCTTCAGAGTAGTTAAGAATGTTGTATATACATATTTAAGTTAAAGTTTTGTTTAAAATAATTTTAATTAGTTAATATTAGGATTATGTTTAAAAAAAATGCCCTAGGCCTTAACGGCCTGTTGTGCCTAAAAATAAATAAACATCAAAGATTTTTCTTTCTGATAAAAGATTCGAAGGATGTGTAAAATTTCTCTTCAGCATTATTATTATTGAAGACCTACACTTGAGCAACTTTCGATTTAGTTTTGCTAATTTTTTCCCCAGTATAAGTGGTGTTAGAATGCCCTGGAAAACGTTGATTCAAAAATTGTCTTACGCGTATATCATAATGTGGGGGTGCCCCGTCCTGTTGGAAAGTCAGTTCATCCTCTAAAAGATTATTATCAGATTCCAATGTGTCAGTGATCAGCGAATCAATAACGTCTTCAAAAAACATTCAAAAAACAACTTACAACAAAGCTACTTTCATACAACGCCTTAATTTTTGTTCTTCCTAGATCTAAGGTTTTGACATTTGGCATTTCTTTCCATAACTTTTCAGGTACTTCTTCTAAATCATTATCTGCTAAACTTAAATAATTGACTCGTGTCAAACTTTGGAACGTATCTGCATTCAGGTACCTGAAACAAATAAAACATATTAGGTACGCGAACGTAATGAAGATTTGATTTAGCCAACAGACACAAAAAGTACTATAGAGCGTTACGTACGGGTACACGTAAACGCATCACCAATAAGTATAAATACTCTCGTAGATAGTACAAACTCATCACCGTACAACTCTAACACCTAACAGGCAATCCAGCGCCTTGCATCAAAAATGCTGGTGATGAGTTTACCCATCTGCACTGATGAGTTTACCTATTTCCAAAGGATGCCGTTGATCAGTTTGCTATATCTCGGATGGTCTAATAATTTTATGGTGGGTATAAAGTGATGACTTCGTACACGTCCTTACCACAGTATAATGAAGTTCCACTCTTGAGTGGAACCTCTTTATACTGTGTCCTTACGTACATAGGACTACTACTTCAGGGAAATACGCAGAGAAGATACTATGTTCGGGACCGTCACTAATCTATAATCTAGATATCTGATCATTTTTTTAGTTATTATAGACTTATATAAAGAAAACCTTTATGTTTTCCGCATACATTTCGACATCTCTTTTAATTATTAAGAATTTAGTGTAAAAAATGCAATTTTTCGATTTTTCGCTTACCATTAAAAAGCTTATTATATAAGATAAAATTAAAAAACTTCATCTTTTAAAACTTAAAAAGCTGTAAAACAGCGATTTCCGAAAGTTGTAAAATTAATTTGTTGCTTCAAAAACAGCAAAATAAGGCAAAAACGTTTGAAATATGAATTTTAAATGATATCTTACGGATATGCACATTACCTTGCAATTTGAATGGTGAGATTTATTTAACATTTTTATAAAATGATTTTATTGATTTATTGGAAAAATTGTCATCAAACATAAGGCTAAATATTTGGTTTATACAAGATGGTATACCGATACATTACAGAGAAAGGGGAGTGAGAACAGCATCTAAAAACAACTTTCCTGAGCATTGGATTGTTCGTGGTAGTCATATTTTTTGGTTATGTGGTAAGATATTAACATAATTATTTAATTGGTAAAAATCCCAAAAGAACACCTATTATTATACTTCTTATAATACTTATAATAACTACTGCAGCAGTTTCTTTAGAACCAATGATGCTATTTAATATGAGACGATATTTTATGGAATGTATTGACAAATGAATTAAAGAAAATGGTGGACATATCGAACATTTCCTTTGACAAAAAGTGTAATGTTATTTAGTGTAAACATTTATTAATTTGGTTTGTAAATAAAATGTTTTGATTATAACTTTAATTTAAAACAAAACGTAAAATGATTGATGTAAAATCCAATTATTCTGATATTTATCAAATCCTATTATTTTATTCTTCTGATATATTTATTTTATTTAAAAATTCGTTAACTTTTAACTTTATTAAAAGTATTGTATACCAAAATTCAGAAGTATTGATGTTTTACTTTAATTTTCTCTCGTTGCCTGAAGTAACTGCGATAAATCCGAATTATGCAGTAGATTTCTAAAATGCGATTATCTCGAAAACTGTTGAGTTTTGAAGATATTAACAAGTATACAATTTTTTTGTTAAAATAATGTGTGTTTAATATTTTTTATTAAAAATACCGGTAGCTTAAAGAGCAAAAAAGTTAAGTGCAAATGTATGCCACATATGTAGCATATGTGGCGCCCTCTATCAGCTACATTAAAGTGTACATCAAATTATAATTTCTGATATTTAATAGTACCCAGTTGTAAATTTTTATACATAAATGTTGTCAAACATGAAAGTTATAGCGAGAAATAAAATTTGAAATTTCCACTTTAACACCCTGTATCTTTTTTAATATCAACATTTTATTAAAGCAACTGACTTAAATCGTAATATGTTAAAATGTAGAATCTATGGTTGCTTTTTGTACAATTACTTAAGGACCACCCTGTATACCTAAATAGAAAATATAAAAATATCAAATAATTAACAAGAAAAAAAACTATTTTTGATTTGGTGTGTCGCTTGTTAATAATAATCGATCATGTACGGAAATTATTGTCCACTTCTAGTTTTGTACCCCCAAACTGTACAATGTCCGAAATGATCAAATTTAAAAATGATTATTGAAACGCTCATCGATCATTATTGATAAGTTGTTGATTATTGAGTTGTTGAAAATTATATTTAAGAAATTAATGTGTCGATTATGTAAAAAGCATATTATTAAGATATGATAGTATTGTATTGTATAGTTTATTTCACGAAAAATTGTTAAGTGCTTAATGATTGCAATAAAACCCGACCGCAAGTACCCTAGCTTAGTCAACATTAGTTGAGCAGGTAAGTATTCAGGAAAAATTGAAGCTACTGTGGAGTGTCGTTATCTTATTTGTATCATAAATTCCTGGTAATATAAAAACGATTAAAAAATCGTATAAAATTATAAATACGATTAGAATACATTTTATTTCATAAAGTTGTAAACATTTTAACAGTGAGTTTCACTATCAATGGTTGATTTTTTAATGACCACAATAAATTTGTTGATCGTTAAATATTTCCTAGACTAATTATACAGGTTCCCTCTATTTTGTATAATTTGTAAAAGTATATAAAACCGATGAAAAATTTTTAAATATACATTTTGTTTCATTTAGTTGAAAGTGTTACAAGAGTTAGCAGTGTTATACCTATTTATACCTATAAAACAGCATTATGTGGTGTCCGAAGAAAAACATTGATGGTGCTTCTTCCAGTGTTCCAGAATAGAAAAAGCATTTATCCGCTGACGCTAGAGAAATCGTAAAAACAATATATAGTTTTTTACTTACAAGAGGACTTACTGCTAATACTGCTGCCAGTGAAATATCTGATTTAACGAAAATACCTCTAACCACAGTGAAAAGAATTAGAAGAGAAAGAATAAGAAGATAAGGACTCAATAAGACGAAAAGTTTACACAATGTACGAAGAACAACGGATACCTACATTGGATGCTTTAAAACAACGGCTTACTAATGATAATACACAAATAAACTGTAGTCGCATTAGTCTTTGGAGGATTTTGAAAACTTTTGAAAGACTCCTGCGTGGACTACCATGAGGATACAACGGCAGAGCTTTTTGAGCAATGGTTTAAGAATTGTCTTATACCTAACCTTTCTCAAAATAGTCTGATAGTAATGGACAATGCAAGTTACCATAGTCGTCAATTACATAAGTGCAAATAACACGAAAATTGAAATTCAAAACTACCTGTTAGAAAACGATATATATTTTGAAGAAAGTTAGTTAAAAAATGAACTGTTAGAAGTGTTAAAATCATTTTCTATTAAAAAAGTATATGTTTGTGATGCATTGGCCGAGGACATGGGACATACAGTGTTACGGTCAAAAACTAAAGTCAAATGTTAGGTCATAAAATGTTTCTCCGACTTTAAGTGGTAGTGTAGTCGAATTAATAAGGAAATGTGTTAATGATATCTCCCCAGAAAGTTGGAAAAATTCAGTACGCCATGTAATGAACGTAGAAAATTCATATGTTACTTTGAATCACATAATTAAATCAATTGTTATTAATCTTAAAGATGATAGCGACAGCGAAACAGAATTAGGTATATAGGAATTCATAAATATATTTTGGTTATTTTGGGTATTTTTTTTTGTAAATATTAACTTGTATATATTTTTCTATATATTTTTTTCAATTCATCTATTTTTTGTACATTATGTATTCGTTTGTATGTATATACTGTAAATAGAACTATTATTACTGTACATTTTTAACGATATCCGATTAGGAAGAGCAAAAACTTTTAAACACGTAAGTTTTTTGCTGGCAGTCCTAAGCCTGTAAAAAGTGTGAAGGAAAGTACCTTTCTGAATTTAGATCCATGTACTACAGTTATTCACGTAGAACAAAAAAACTACTTTCTTCATGTTAAAAATTGTTCAATTATCAAGTGTATTAACTTGAACAACCTGAAAATACCATATGAAATAATTTAATAAATTTTTATAATCGTGTATTACACAGCTACCAATGAAATATATTAAATAACAAACTTTCTAAAGTGCGACCCTGTGTACTTCGGTAATTTATTGAGAGACTCTAGTATACACAATAGGATCAACTCAGGTAACCATTAAGCACTCAACCATTTTTCGTGAAACAAACTATACACGATGTATGCGATGTACATTATTAACCAATTTCTATTTTATTAGATTGAATCAGCTCCTCCACTGGTCAAAACATTATTTATGTTTGTTTAGTTCGTATCAAATAAAGTTACAAACAAAAGAAATCTGAAATAGACTATAAATGCACTATAGTCTTAATTAACTGCAGTTCTTATCTATTTTATAATAATAACAGATTATTTGCAAAATTTCTTTACTGGCACCAACGAAAAAATGTGCTCCATTCTCCATTACTACTATTAATTTTTATTGTAGTAAGAAGGAATAAATCGAATAAAGGGTCAACGTTCCACGTTGTGGCGCCTGAGATGTGGCGCCACAACTGATTTTCTCGCTAGGTGCTACGTTTCTTTTTTTCTTTACTTCTAATTGATGTACACGATATAGATACGTGATACAAATTCCGAACTTTTACTTCCTACATGTTTGTGTGTACCACATACAACCCAACACCTATTATTGTGGTTTCAATAATAAATTATTGGGTCCCATAAATTACATAAAAGATTACTGTGATATTAAAACCAAAGCAACGTTGTAATATGTAGATTGATTGATATCTACAGGGTCTTTCATAATTAATTGATTACAAAATGATTGTATATTATTGGTTCAAATGTACGTTGGTGCGCTGCATAGGTCGGATTATAAGAAGAATATCACATGTATTCAGCTATAAAAATTTCAAAAAGTTTCACTTAACAGTTATTGTAAAATTGAAATTGTTTATACCTGAAAGGTTTTATCTACAACGTTATTATGCGTAAACTATTAGGTCTATATAAATTCTGAAGGCACCAAATTGAAGAGAAAGGCTTATTTTATCAAATT